CGTCAAATCGGGGATATTCAACATGTTGGATTGTCTTGGCCTGATATTGGAGTGTGTGTGGTGTGGAGCCTGTTAAGTGTGAAAATCGCAAGGTGACAGATTAACGCTGCGCTGAGTGACAGGAATCCTCCACTGTGAAGCTTGTTTATTCCAAAGATAAATTTGACCTAAAGAGGTTTTGTGAGATTTCCCTACTCCCTGGCAGTGTTTTCAGTGAGCACCACTCACTGGTGCCGGTACTTTTAACTTTTTACCCAGCAGTGTCTCCGGACTTCTTTGTAGCTGTGCTTACAGGTAAGGAGAGTTAAAGCAGAAATGCTGAGTTTTAAAATGTTTTTAAATCTACTCTGTTGGACAAAAAATATTATTACCTACAAGTCCAGTAAAAAACACAACAAAGCCAGGTCACCATCAGCCTGTGATTTCATAGCCTCCTTTAGCTACGCCGGTTCCTGCTGGAAAATTATATATATATATATATATATATATATATATATATATATATATATATATATATATATATATATATATATATATATATATATATATAAGACGGCTTTTGTTTTATTTTGGATGCCGGCATGCTACTAGCATCCAATGAAAAAATACTGGATGCTACTTTTTTCACTCTAGATTTAGCTCTTTGCTTCACCTCCAAAGATGTTACTCTCTGACTTTTACTAACAGGCTCCACCATGACACCAACAGAAAAAGCAAACTTCTTTTTTCTTACTGCATTGTTGTTGTTTTTTTCTTTACACACACACAAGGGCAGCAAAAGAAGAAGCAGAAAGTACAATAAAGAAGTCAGCCGTAACATATCACTGCACAAGAGAAAACCATATAATGGACTGGGACAACACAAGAATCATAAACACCGAACAACAGAAATACAAAAGATGGATAAAGGAAGCCATAGAGATAAGGAGACGTGGATGTGGGACCATGAACAGAGACGATGGAGTTTACACATTGGATCGCGCATGGGACTGCATCATCGGAGAGGGGAGAGCGGGCAGCAGAGGGCGACAACGTCCTCTGCTACCCGCGGATAAGTGGAGTAGGAAGTGACGCCACCATCAGCGTCAGCTCTGAGGATGTTTGCAGCCACAAACAAAACTGTCAGCAAGGTAAAGAGAAACCTTTTCTGTGTTTTAAAAAAGAACCAACAATGCAGTTAGAAAAGCAGCACAGCAAGAACATACTAAAGAAGTTCTTTTTTTCTTTTTGTGTATTTTATTGGTAGTCGACAAACTGAAAAAGTGAACTGCTAGCCTTTATATTAGCAACCGCCACTATAAACAGCTAACAGTCCTTAAGCAGGTAGGGCACCTGCCTGCTCCACAAAACTGTTGAGTGCTGTTTCTGGTCAGCAGAGGGCTGCTGAGTGCTGTCCCGTGTGAAGCTGGTAAAGTTTCTAGCTACACAATCACCTAACCTCACTTTTAAAGCAATTGGTTAAAGTGTTAAAACTGCTTAGTGTCACTTAAGAAGAGTACTGACCCCTTTCCCCCACTATACCACACCACAGTGGGACTAAAACGGTTATAGCTGTGATTTATGTATCACCGTGTGTGGGGTCTTTAATGTTTGGAAAAGAGTTTAAATACTGCCGTGTGAACCGGGTCCTAACACGACGTCTAGTGAATCACGGGTGAGAATTGCATTAGCATGGTCCTTACAAGGATTTGGTATGAGTTACTGAACTATCATGACTTCATTGTGTCAGGGACAGAAAACAGCACCCAGAGGTGTCATCTTCACTGCCTTTATCTGCTTTTGCTCCCTTTCCCTCCAATGCCTGTCGTTATTCCAAAGTAAAGCACCTCAGCTGTCAAAGTCAGGCTTTTGTCTTCAGGATCACTTTCAAAACTATTATCTCCCATCATAAAGAATAAGGCTATAATGACACAGCCTCCATTGTCTTCCTGCTTGCTTTAGGAAGCAGGTCTTCAAGAACGGGAGACGCGATGCAACCAAAGTCTATTTAAGATCTTCTCAGCAAATGTTTCAATAAATCAGTTACAGGATGCATATTTCTGATTGGATTCATAGGAAGTCTCAAACGATAGATGTCATAAAGTGACCCAACAGGATGCACACTAGACTGGCAAAATTCTTGAGCCCATGTAGTGTTTGTTTTCCCGTCCCACAGGTTTTATTTGCTAACTAAAGCTCTCTGTGTTCACGCTCTTCTAAGCTTCAAGACAACAGCAGACGTTGGTGGTGAACGTGTCCGGCTGGAGTGACGGTATGCTTGTTGACATGCCTAACAGACGACATCCGGATGCAGCAGGATCAGCGGAGAGCACTTTGTTTGCTCTTGCAATGATCTCTCGAGTCAAAGTGTCTAATTATGTTGGCAGCTTACCTGGTGTTCGTTCTCTCAAACTGTGTGCAAACAGTACAGGAGCTCAGTGCAAACGCAGCATGCTCGCAGGTAACATGGGCTTGTTTTTTTTAAACAAGCAAAACTTATAGTAAAAGACACCAATGAGAACTGGTTATAAATATTTGCATTGCTTTGCTGAGTTCATGCAAGAAAGTTTGTGCAAACGGAAAATGCAAGGGAGATCACAGCAGAGGATTTTCCTCTGTGCATGAGCGATGGTGTGTTTGCTTTACAACTATACCGACCTATAGGTACCCGGGGATTACCCAGTACATACATGGGTTGTGTTTTGTATTACTACCATTGTTACCCCCCCCCCCCCTCAAACTAAATAAAAAGTCACTGCACCACAACAAGTTTTATTCTTTATTTATTGTAATTGTTTAACAGTTTGGTTTGTGAATGTCAACATTGTTTGTAACAAATTCTCCATTTAAAATATGAAGGCAAAACACGATTTTAAGAATTGTATCAGTTGGATGAAACATTTTTTAAACTGCAATTTGATTTTTTTATTCTTTAAAACAATTTGCAAATGTTTTTTAACTAAACAAAAATAAATAAATAAATGACATAAAAATGCTCAGAAGTCCAGGACTGACTCAGAGAATAAGGGTTGTAATTTTTTTACTTGTTTGTAAATCTGCCAGAAATTTCTAAACGTAGCACTGATGCTAAACAACAAGAACAATGAAAGTTGGATTCATTTGTGCAGCTCTAATTTGTGACAGAATTCCTCTCAGATCAGGTAACATATGAACCAGAGTGTCCAGTCTAAAGCTTGTTATATGCAACCCTTATTCAGTTTGAGTCTGTCCAAATGCAATCCTGTGATGAGTTCAGGTTCAGTGGTAATACATGAAATCATTCAGGAAATTTTCAATTATGTCTTCTAAGCTTTTAGAAAACAAAAAGTCCACTGGTTCTGCACAAAGTTCGCATGTTCTCCTCATGCATGAGTGACTTTTTCTCCCACATGGAGAGACAAACATGTTGGGTAAAATTGTCAGTTTGCTTTAAATAAAATAATCTTCAAAATGAATAAACATAAACGTGGTGTCAGTGGAAAGGAATGACTCATTTTACTCGAACAAGAGCCAGGCTCAAGATGGAGATCCAAAGGGCCCCAATGAAGGCAACCAGACTTTCTTGATGACGTTTTGCTTCTCATCCGAGGAGTGTTGTCAATTCTGAATGGAATATGGAAGTCAAGTTTATAAACTGTTGTTGCAACGTGCTCGTTGATTACATGGCTGTTGTTGCTTAAGGAGCTGAAACTATCTATGAATACCCCTCCTTCCTACCCCGAGGAGTTGCTTATGTCATCAGGCCATTTTGTGTTGGAATGGTTGTTTTGATTAGGTGCAAAACATGGGGAGCCATCTAAACATCGGCTGACTAGAGAAATCTGCTAAGACTTGAAAAAAATGACAACAGAGAAGAGGTGTGAGATGTACTCATCAGGTGCTAACAGCACAATAATGGTTCACCCAGTCAGCATCAGAAAGGAACACTCAGATAGACAGGGTGTCTAACTACCTCTGTGTGTGTGTGTGCGTGTGTGTGTGTGTGTGTGTGTGTGTGTGTGTGTGTGTGTGTGTGTGTGTGTGTGTGTGTGTGTGTGTGTGTGTGTGTGTGTGTGTGTGTGTGTGTGTGTGTGTGTGTGTGTGTGAGAGAGCTTTTCTAAAATAAATATAGTGTAGAATTTAACAGGATTCTAAAGAAGAGATGGGAGAAAACCCTGATTTGCTAATTCTCAAGGAAACCCAGGAACATTTTTGGAAAGCTTTTGAAACAAATAAGTAGCAGTTAGTGTCATTAATTCATTCACTCATTAATTTGTTCATCCATTCATTATGCTAGATCATTGAGGCCTGCAAGTACACAGCACAGTAAACATTCTTTTTTGCATCCTTTCATGCCTTTTGTGATTGGCACATATTTCTGTTGTCATTCTACCTGCATTCACTCATTATTTCATTTGCAGTTTTCATTCATGTTTACCATTTCATGCTGCCACCTATCAACACAGTATTTTTGTTTCTGAAAGTGTGCACAAATTCAGCATTTTGAATGTTGACTCTTTTGGGGGTATTTCGGTGTCATGTTTTCTTGTTTTTTAATTATTTATTTCTCATTTTTATTCTCCTTTTTGCTTCTGAAATGAATGTATTTGCTGCTGTAACCAAAAATTCTCCACTGTGGGACAATAGAGATTTTCTATTCTATTCTATTCTATTCTATTCTATTCTATTCTATTCTATTCTATTCTGTTCTGTTCTGTTCTATTCTGAGCATCATCCGGACTCATAGTTAAAAGTGTTGCAATCATTTCATTTGAAGTGATTAAAGGAGCAGCGTCAGTCTGAATGTGATGATTAAAAAAGACGCGCTCCCTAAAGCACGTCTTACATCAAATTCTTACATCAAATGGTATTGTTGCCATGACAACAAACAAACTGCTTTACACCTAGCTCCCTCCCCCTAGTCTTCCTCCTCCCCCTCGTCCCACTCCCTCCCGTCCGAGCCCGTCCCGCCCCGCACCTCCGCGTTAATGTTTTCCTGCGCCGTTGCCCTGGCAACAGGAAGGCGTTTCCCAGTGATTTAAGGATACTTCTCTCACGCGGTTTCCTCACTGAGTTCAGACTGCCGCCGGGTCCCAGCACGGCAACAGGCGGGAGGGAGGGATTCCCCTGTTCGTCGCCTCTCTGTCTTTCCCTGCCTCGGAACCGCCTGAGAGAAAAAACAAAACACTGAACCCAAATCAGCAGCTGCTTCCCAGCCCGGCGCGCCCATCTCTCCGCAGCGGCATGTCCAGGACCCGACGCGCGGCGTGCTGTACGGAGCAGAAACGCTGAACCTGAGGGGATTTATTGACTAAAAGTGCAGTTGCATTGCAGCCGAGAGGGACTCCGTACTCTAACTGATGAGGTGAAACTTTAAAAGACCCTTCCGTCTGTGGAGCCTCTCCTGCAGCGGGGGTTTCACGCTGTTTTCTGTCTCATTCCAGGCAGCCTCCAAATGACGTCGAGATGGCATGTGGAACGCTTCTCCCGTCTTTTTCCACGTTCACCAGCGGCCCCGCTGACCGGAGCAGAGCCCTAGGAAGCGCGTACCCAGTGAGTAGCCTAGCCTGCCCTGCGGTCACCAGCGTGGGCATCGGGGGGAGTCGGGGTGTTTCCAGCATGTCAGGGTTTGACAGCGGGCTCTGCTGGGGCGTGCACAGGCCACTCCAGCATGTCTGCAGGGAGAAAATGCTCATGCAAAATCACATTTTAGGTGTTTATTTATTTATTTATTTATTTATTTAGCTACATATTAATTGCAAACTTTTAATGTAATTGTTTTCTAAAGTACTAAAGAAAGTTGGTTTCACTCAAATGGTGATGTGCGACGTCTCTAACTTTCTCTCTTTAGAAATGGAAGGAAGAGTTGACCCTGCTTAAGATATCCAGCGTACCAACAGGAGCTAACGGCTCAGACCCAGACCACCCCCCTGCCACCAGCATAACCAGCACCAGCATGTCCAAGAAGAACACGGAGCCAGACTTGGACCTAGACTACGACTTTATTCTGTCCAACTCGATCCTGCAGCAGCAACAGCAGCAGCAGGAGGACGCCCTAGCGTGCAGCTCTGCTCAGGCCATGTCTTCTTCTCCTGGTTCTTTCTCCTCATCCTACCAGCTTCCCTCCCCACAGGACACTACCAGTGAGCTGCTGTACACCATCCCAGACATCAGCGACGTCTCGCCCTCTGGAGGCTTTGTGGCAGAGCTCATGAGGCCCGAGCTGGATCCTGCATACCTTCAGCCCACCAGCCTCCACGGAAAATTTGTGGTCAAGACAACAATGGACATGGGAGAATACAGCCAAGGCATGACTGTGAGCAAGGCCTGCGTCAGCGCGGTGTTGGACTCCACTCCTTCGCGCTTGTCGCCGTCCTTTACATGTCACAGGATAAAGCAGGAGAACCCCGGTAACTGCACCATCTCACAGCCCATGGACCTCCATCTAGCTGGGGTAAACAACCAAGGCCGAGGCACCCAGCAGCAGCGTCCCAGTCACTTGGATCTACACGGGTTCTCAAGCGGAGGCCGGTCCATGACGAGCAGCAGGCTGTCCTCATCCTCTTCCATGTCTCCGGACCATCCCCTCAGCCGGGAGCACCAGCTGGGCCATCCGGTGTCCCAGATCTCAATACCTCCACAGGGGTACCACCATGGTGGCTCTCAGGGCTACACCGCCTACTCACAGGTGTCTTCCATGCAGTACCCAGGTATTTTAACGTGCAAAGCTGTTTGACACATAATAATCGTAGACGTTAGTGTATACGACTCACTTTCACACCCGATTCATAAAACTAGCACCGGGACTTTACAATTAGCTGTGGTTTTGCAAATGTGCACACGGATCAGAGGCCAGTTGATGTATGGTGGTGGTGGTTTTTTACTCCACAGAGGCCCTCATGATCTCTAGCGGGGACTGTTTGCCAGAGGAACCCAAGCCCAAACGCGGCAGACGCTCCTGGCCGAGGAAGAGGGTGGCGACGCACACGTGCGACTATGTCGGCTGTGGGAAAACGTACACGAAAAGCTCCCACCTGAAGGCACATCACCGCACACACACAGGTATGCAACCCTGGTGTTTCTGCTTGTTGCCGTTCGTGATCGCAGCTCAGTACACTCAAGCTATTCGGCTTAGAGGGGCCTCATCAGTTATGAGCAAATATGTAGCATTATTGAGTCATCATAATGGAGGTCAGGTGGGTGGGGGTTGGAGTAGGGGAATTGTCTGGCAGGTGCAGTAAAACAGGTTGACACTGATCCCTGCTCAAACACAAACCCTACAGGCTGATTGCTTTGGCCTTTCCACACAAGATGCAGGACAGGATGGACGTCTTTTGTCCTGGAGGTGGGGCGGCTGGGGGTGTTTTTAACCTCAGAGCTAACCGTGTGTGTGTGTGTGTGTGTGTGTGTGTGTGTGTTTAGGGGAGAAGCCTTACCACTGCGACTGGGAGGGCTGTGGCTGGAAGTTTGCACGTTCAGATGAGCTCACTCGCCACTACAGGAAACACACGGGTCATCGGCCTTTCCAGTGTCAGAAATGTGACCGGGCCTTTTCCAGGTCAGACCACCTTGCTCTCCACATGAAGAGACACTTATGAGACTCTGCTGATGGGAGGACAGCACGACAAACCGAAGGCTCGACAAAAGACGAGGACAAATTACAGCTATCGTATTTACGGAAACCGGAACAAACTGACGTTTCAAACTTGCCTTCGAGCTGGAGTCGAGCAGCAAGACGAGCTGCGGCCTCCATGGCGAAAAAGAGCACTACCCTCCAGGCCGATCCTCCACGGCGTGCAGATGACTCAACCAGGGTTGTGAAACGTTTTATGAAAGGGGACCAAACTGGAAGTTGTCTTATTTAACCGACAAAACTTGGTGGACCAGGTTTTTTTTAAACTGGAAATGTCAGGGAAACCAGGAGCAACAGACACAGCATCTCCAGAGGCCTTCTGCCACGTTAACTACACACACTGTTAAAAACTGTATTAAGAAGTATATTTATACTCCGATTTCACCTGCAATACCATCTTATTTCAGGTACATTCACTTACGCAGAATGGTGCTCAGAAGGTTTCTTTTAAAACCAAAATAAATTAAAAAAAAAAAGGTACCAAAGATTAAAGAAAGAAGCAAAAATAAGTGCCATGCAGGAGTTGGTGTGTTTCTCAGAGACCTCACTTCCACAGTCTGACTTCAGGTGAACATTTTCTTTTATTTTTTAATGGCGAAGGCAATCTTTGAATGCACTGCAGCTGCAAAGTGCAATAATTTATATGAAGCATTCATATTTTTGTATTGAATGATTAACTCTGAACAAAGATTTTTGTTTATAGCCAGAATATGTAATATAATGTTGACCTTTGTACATTTGTAAATAAAAATGCTTTGTTATGGTTTTCTATTACACTGTATAATGAAATAAAATGTATTTGGAATAAATCCTAGACGGTCTGGATGGTGACTAAAAGTTGAGTTTCTGTCTCATTAGCTGCAGTAATTGTAGATTTCTCCGTTACTGTAACAGAGGAGCTCATTTAAAAGGCAGCAACCCCGTAACACTGTGTCCTCCCTGATAATGGGGACTGGGCCGCAGGCAAACCAACACAATGATGTCCTTAAAATATTTTCAAAAGACAACTCTCTCCTAGCACGTCCCGTTTCCGTGGGTTTCTCTTTCCACCTGTCAGGGAAAGAAAGGGAAGAACAACAACGGTACCGGCTGACACCAGATCTGATGGTCCTGTCCTGAGCTCTAAATACACACGATGATGCTGCAGCCAGATGGTTCTGCTGTAGAAGTGGTTTCATTGGGCTTTGCTCGTTTTTGTGATGCCTTCAAATTAAATTCAGTTTGAGATGGCCAGAGTGACTCATTCATTCACCTTTTGGTTTGTCTTCAGCTAAGATGAGACAAACTAGAGCTCTGCTGGTTAAAACAGATTTTCTGTAAAGAGAGAGCTTCAGATTTTCTGAATAAAAATGTAAATGCTCCAAAACGCCAACATTTCTGTTCGTTTTTTGGGGTTTGAATTAGTTCCAAAACAAGTCAAACTGTCAGGTCAAAGGCAGCAAACATCATGCGAAAGACAGATTATGTTTATTTAAACTGTTTTTAGCTTTTGAGCAACAGGTTGGGAGCACAATTTTGGGCTGGAAAAGCATCTCAGAGAGAATCAAAGGAGGATTCATCATTTTGCGCATTACAGGTGAGACTGGAAAAACTATAATATGGTGCAAAAGTCTGTTAATTTCAGTAATTCAAGTTAGAAGGTGAAACTGATGTGGGTGATGAACTCATTACATGCAAAGACAGATATTTCAAGCCTTTATTTGTCATAATTGTGTGAAAGGTTCAAGCTCAAAGTTTCACTCTAATCAGCTGATGAATCCAGAACACCTGCAAAGGGTTCCTGAGCCTCTAATGGTCTGTCTGTATGGTGGTGCAGTTAGTAGCACTGTAGTTTCCCAACAAGAAGGTTGCAGGTTTGAAACCCAGCTTCAGTCTCTTTACAGGGACTTAGCATGATCTCCCCAAGCATGCATGTCAGGTGAACTCTGGGTAAAAGCACCTGCTAAATAAAACAACCATAAAACTGTGCCGATCACACTGAAAGCTAAAACCAACCCAATAAGATCAATAAAGACAAAATGAAAAAGTATTCCATGATCTCATCAATTAAATATATATTTTTGAATATGTTTGAGATGTTTGGGTTGAAATCCAGAGGATCCATCGTGCTCTTTTTCTGTGATGGCGTGGGACGTCATCATCGCAGACATATTTAGCTTTTTAACAAACACACACTGTCCAAAGGGAATGCCTTGTTTAAATAATTTCCCAACCATTGCATTAGTTTGAAAACATTTTACTGAGCCTGAGTGCACCTTAAAATGTGCCTGATTATTAAAAATAATACAATTTTGTATTTTCTTCCTAATCTTAAATGTGTTGCCTTCTATTGTAATACCCTCCAAACTGAATAGACGCAGTCAGGTAAAAGCTCAGGTTTAAATTAGGTCAAATAACAGTATTAAGCTTATTATAGGCAGGTTCAGTAAGTCTCTCCCGGTTGTTAGAAATAAAGATACTGTGGCCTATGCTGCCATCTACTGTTTCATTCTATTGTAACACCTGAAAAAAATATCCATGTTAGTGAATAAAGTAACATGTTTATCAGTTTATTCTGAGAAAAATGGAGAGGCATGTGTTTTTATTGATCTGGAACTCAATCATGTGTTTTTAAAAATGTCACCAAGAGACGATGAGCTGGATTTTATTCAGAGTGAAGGACGCAAACACAAAAACATTCATCACCTATGATGCCAGTTAACCCTTAAAAGTAAAATCATGATGGGTTAAATTTAATAATAATAATAATAATGATAAACAATAACTTTGATGAAAAATTATTGAACTTTGTTTCTGTTTTTTATTTCTCATTTGTTCTTGTGCAGCAGCCAACAGCTGATGATCATCCAGTGTTACCATGTGAGCTGGATTTGGAAGTGGTGAATAAAACACATGTTGCAAATTAAAAGGCTTGTTTTACATTTATAATAATAAACATCGGCAATCAGAAAGTTGAGGAACAAGTGTGAAAACGACGGGACAATCAAACAAATGGCTCCTTCAATCGTCGTCGAAGTTCTGCTGTAAAAGGAAGTTGGCGGCCAGGTTCTCGTTCTTCTCACAAGCGAAGTAGGCCTGGATAACAAGTCCCTCTGGAAACCCCAAGGCTTTTAGCTGCAGTTAGAGAGAGCAGCGAGTTAGTTTAAACATTTGGTTTCTGTTCAGGACCTTCTACATTTGGTATTTAAATCAAAAACAAACAAATATGAGGTTCTTTAGGTCCCGTTTGAGGCAGTTTTAGTTCCTCCTCACCCTTTCGATTGCTTCTTTCTCCTGTGGCGTGACCTGGATGTAGTTCATGTGACCTCCACCAGTGGTATCGCCTCCTGTTCCTCCCGTCCCACCTCCCGGCACCGGATCTGGATTGGGCTCGTTCAGCATCTGGATGAACTGCTCTTGGTGGCTGCTGATCTCCTACAGAGGTAAAGGAAGAATTAGAGACAACAACAACCCTAAACGTGAAGAACAAGTCATTCCAAGTGCTCGAATGAGCGTTTTCTATTAGCCCTAGTCAGCTCCACTCAGTTTGGCCTGGTTCCAAGGCCTTTTCACTAGTAATGGGTACCAGTTTCTCTGTAACTGCTTGGATGTGGTTCCGGTTGTGGGGCGGAGTAACTGGTTAATCCAGTTTTCGGCCTCTCTACCCACAGCTTTTTCTGGTATTTTAACACTTTCGTGCCACCTCATCTGCATCTAGACGGGTCCGGTTATCTGTACGTGCCACTCTTGTTGAAAGCTGCTTCTGTAACATTTAACGAAATGAAACTTTATGTTTATGTTTATTCACTTAGCAGACGCTTTTATCCAAAGCGACGTACAATTTATAACCTATAGGGCATGTTGTGATCTGTGGGGGGACCGGAGTACCCGGAGGAAACCCACGCATGCATGGGGAGAACACGCAACTCCACGCAGAAAGGCCGCAGCCGAGCCGAGTTTCGAACCTGCAACCTTCGTGCTGCAAGGCAACAGTGCTAACCGCTGCGCCACCATGCACACTTCCACAGGCATCTCGTCTTGATACGAGATCTTTCAGGGGAGCAACATGCATTGCCACAAGGTAGGACAGGTCGTCTGGTAGCACAATCTTCAAAACGCCAGGGGCCTCATTTATCACACTGGTCACGGTAGATCTGTGCGTATTTCGTGCGTAGGAACAATTCTACTCAATGTGTGGTATTTATCATGTTGTACTTGTGCGTGGAAACGTTTCTAAATTTAAGAACATCTCTGACCGTGCATACGCACAGCATCTAGTGGTGGAACGGGGAAGCACAACACCGAATGTCTCAGTCATCCAGATGGTTCTCATCCACAAATTTCATTTATCCAGGATGTAATTTTGTCAGTGGAAAAACAGCTTTTTTGCATAATTGGTACTAAAATCAATAAAAGACACCTGTGACCAACGGGAATCTGACATCATCATGGCTGATCTGTGTCACTGGAGGATTTAACAGAGCGTGCTCCCTGGAGGGAACGTGTTCTCCGTGAGTGCTCTGATCTCAAATGCTCGGATTTGGGACCCTCTGTGGCGCTACAGACAAACCTCACAAAGCCGATCACAGTTCATATTTTATTTTACAACTATGAGAATCCCCCAGAACCTCCTCTGCTCCCCGATCAAACACGCCACGTTGCCAAGGTAACCAGACTGAATGACAGCTCAGAGGCAGCGCTCTCAGACAACATTTCCAAATAAAACTAAATCCAAACAGAACGACCCCTTAAATGTAAACGAGAACCTGTTACTCTACGACTGATTAAATCCATTTTGTAAATTTATTTCTGACAGGAACCTCTCCTCTGTCCCGACCGCGTAACCTCTGTAACTTGTTTGGTTCTTTTGCGCTTCGGCAGCCAGCGTTTCGATCTCGATCTTTTCTGGGAAAAAAAACAAGGAATCCCCTCATGTGCTGAGGACGTAGCGTGACCAAATATGGTTCATTGAGGGCGTTTCTCGATGCAAATGGCTGTCAACAGGCACGAGCACCTGAGTACGCACAAGTGGGATTAATCAACAGCTGACTGCGGAGGAACATGCGTACGAGAGGCCACCACATGTTTCATAAACCAGATTTGGGCTGTTCGTACCAACATTCTAAATTCCATTCGTAGGATTGAATACAGGAACATTTCTACGAACGTTTGATAAATGAGGCCCCAGGTCTGACAAAAAGATACAGGCTAATCAGAATGCTCAACACGATGACTACGTCTGCCATAGTTGCATTGTTTTTTTAAGTTGCGTACTGATAACTTTGTGCTGCTCTTGGAACTCTGGAGTCCACCCGGCAACAACGTGTCCAGTTGCTCTAAAGGTCTGATCAAACCTGGACCAACGAGCTCGCAACGGATGAGCAACAGCAAAACATTTCAGTTCAGCTGCTCAGGAGCTCAACTAATTTTAATTCATGTGTTTGTGTCGTTGCTGCTCTCCAACGGTCTCTGAAAGGGATGAGGCTGCGGCTCAGGTGGAAGAGAAGGCTAGCATCAGCAGAGGCTGTCAGTTTAAATCTAGTGTCCCTGGGCAACCGTGTTGCCCCTGATCTACAACTCTGTGTGTGTGTGTGTGTGTGTGTGTGAGTGAGTGAGTGAGTGAGTGAGTGAGTGAGTGAGTGAGTGAGTGAGTGAGTGAGTGAGTGAGAGAGAGAGAGAGAGAGAGAGAGAGAGAGTTGATCAGCCTTTGTAAGCGTGGTTAAATCTCCGGCCTTTAATTGCACATTTTCTTCATCACACCCGTATTTTGCAGGTTCTATCATCTCAGGATCTATCTGAGCACTCGTTGCATTCGTCCTACAACAATGACACAGCACACGTTTATACTGTAAAGCAATAAGGCGAATCATGAATATGTGGCCAGTGTTGCACTAGTCTTCGGGGATATGACATCTTAAACCACACGGTGTGGTTTTGTGTGCTCCATGGCAAATATGTGCTCTGTGTGTATTTGCAAACACAGATTTTAAACATCTGCTTTCATCGTGGGACAGGAAGTGTCAGCAGGTGTGTGATTTCAGCATCGCAGCTCAGACGATTTAGAGACTGTTTAGTTTCAGCTGGATCAACTCTGAACCTCGGCTGAAGCTACGTTTTCAGAAGTATTCCCTTTAAAAGAAGGAAAATATCTGTTTTCTAAAAATAAAAATAAAAAAAAAGAGCGTCAGACAGGTAACAGGTGGTAAAAGTGATTTAGTAAATAAACTCCAAGTGTATTTAAATGATTTTATATCGTTCAGGCAGGACGAAATCGGTCGCTCCTTTACCTGCAGCAGCTCTGGGTTTTCCCTGCCGATCTCCTGCAGCAGAGCTGGAAGCAAGGCGGCGTTCTGCTGAATCAGTTGTCGCATGACGTGGAACTGAGGCTGATTTCTGAGGAAGCTCAAGGGGTTACCTGTTAGTGTGAGTCAAAGTGTCAAGCGGCGAGTGAAAGAGAGATTATTATGCAGATAAACGTTTATTAATGAAGGCTACTGTGTGTTTTAGGCAACAGAAAGCCTGTTTACCTCCTGCAGCACTTGGTGAAGAGCCAGTGCTGGCAGGGCCACTAATGCTGCCAGCAGGTGCAGCTGGAGCTCTGCTGGCTGGAGCTCCACTCGCTGGAGGTGAACCAGCAGCAGCGTCGGGTCCTGTTGCAGGGCCCTGATCTCTGCCTGGAACACCCTGTGGGAGGAGTCACGACTCATGCTGGTTTTAAATGTCACGCAGAATAAACAAGTAGCTCGAAGATGTTGTTGCCGCTTTAAATCTACCATAAAGTATGCATACCAAGATTAAGTCAAAGTGTTTAACAAGGTGCGTTTAGGTGAAGGTGTCTGTGATTATGAGAAGGAACAATTAGCTCCATCTTTCCCAAAGGTCACACACCTGTGTGACCTTTTAAGGAGACTTTATCGGAGCTGTTCTTACCGAGAGCAGGTACTCCATGGCTCTGTCTGGGTTGTTAAAGCTCGCTCTCATTGCTGCCACCACCTGCTCTCTCTCATAGCCCATTAGCATCATCTCGTTCACCATGGTGTCATACGATGAGCCTGTCACTGCAGAGGCCATGAAACACACGCACGCACACGCACACACACGCAAGCAAGCAAGCAAGCAAGCAAGCAAACACACACACACACACACACACACACACACACACACACACACACACACACTTAGTACCTTTTCTTTCTAAACCTCGTCACTTTTAGCTTTTTCTGTTGGAGCTCGTTAAAAGGCACATTTCTGGTAACTACTCACTTTAAAAGTGAAAAATTAAACTAACACTCTGTGAATGTAGGAATTACATTCTGAACATGTTCTCTACTATGGCACCCCATTAGTAAAGTATAGTATATAATAAATCGGTTAATTGATTAAAAGAGTGAATTACTCAATCAATCAATCAATCAAAGCTTTATTTATAAAGCGCCTTCCGCAACCCTGTCAGGAAGCCCAAAGCGCTGAACATGGTACAGTTGTAAGTAATTATACTGAATAAATCAACAATAAAAGAAATTCAAATTACAAAATACAAATTACAAAATACAAAATGGAAATTACAAGATAGATGAAACATTCCGGTAAAATACAAATGTGTGAAACACAATTGGATTGAGTGGATGGATTGAGTGTCCCAATGAAAACTGTGGAATGGATTCAACATAAAAGAGGGCCAAAATCAAACATGTTCTGGAAACGCCAAGCGGAGGAGGTGTGTTTTTAGGTGATTCTTAAAGACTGGCAGAGATGTGGACAGCCTAACTGAGGGTGGCAACTGGTTCCAGAGTGACGGTGCTAGGACTGAGAAAGCCCGGTCCCCACGGGTACGACACCTAGACCGAGGGACAGCGAGCAGGCCTTGGTCAGAGGAGCGCAGAGCGCATGATGGGGAATGTTTGTTCAGGAGTGTGGCCAGATAGGGGGGACCACCACCCTGGAAGAAATGATAAACAAAGACGAGTATTTTGAATTGTGAGCGATAGGAAATCGGAAGCCAGTGCAGGGAGGCCAGAACTGGACTGATGTGGTCCCGTTTCCTGGTCCCAGTCAGGAACCTGGCAGCGCTGTTCTGCACAACCTGTAGGCGACGCAGTGTTGACTGACACAACCCTGCATATAGAGAGTTGCAGTAGTCAAGCCGAGAAATTACAAAGGCATGCAGTACCCGCTCCAGGTGGGCTCTCGACAGCATATGCTTGAACATATACTTGTTTAATAAGTACATTTGAAGTGGTCTCTCGTAGGAATAAATGCCTTGCAGGCAGTACTCAGGGCACAAAAAATCTAACAAACCCTTGTCTCAGCATAGCAAGTCTGCGACATCACAGTTAAGCTCAGACAGGATTTGGAGTAATATTTCCTGATATTTGGACATCTGGCCACGGATTGGTTAACAGCAATACAACTCTACCGCTGACTTGCAATGTTGATCTTTTATCTCCACAAATAACGGAAGCCCGGAGGAGCTTTTGCTGTGTGGTGAAATCGCTAATGCTAACGGTTAGCTTAAACTAGCCAAGACATCTGCTGCTGATTACCGTAGGCTAACCCCGGGTTTCCACGGGAGCCGTCAGCAGCACGTTACTGCAGCAGCACGTCTTGCTCGCGTAAGCTGCTGCTTGGCCCTTCCCACGAGACGCGAAGCAGCAGGGGAGCAGCTGTCACCGACAGAGCACGAAGTCACACGAGTGACTTCGTCAGTAAACACAACAACAAGCAGGAGAAAACTACCACATGGTTTGTGTTTTATGTTCTGTCCATTTTATAATCGCCAATACGGACCTGAAAAACAAAGGAGACCGCTAGCTAGGTGATAACTTCTCACGGGGACGCGCAGTTAGTAAAGTTTATTAAAAGTAAAGCAACCAGAAGGCAGTACGTTCTTTATTCTGAAAATCTCGGTAGCTTCTCTCCATTTCCGCGTCCGATTTCCTGTCTTTCCTTCCCCAAAAATGTCGAACTTGACCAGTTTCAGAGGCGTTGCGCGTAGAAAATAGAACCGGCGCGTAAAGGCCGCGACATGCTGCTCCTGAGACGCGGCCGACTCGCGCTGCTGACGGCTGCTGACGGCTCCAGTGGAAAAGGTTCTGTTGACCACAGCGGTTCCTATCAGCAGCTATGATGTGCTGCTGCAGTAACGTGCTCCCGTGGAAAGCCGGGGTAATACAACAACAGCCTTCCCTGTCGTGAGTCAGGATTGGCGAGTCCATGAATGCTAATTCACAGTGTGACGTAGATCTGTGAGGATTTTCAAAACCTAGAGTTTCACCATCTATTTTCTATCAGAAGCTAATGCTGGAGATAGGTGTAGGAGACTATTTTCATGTTCATCCTGTATAAAAAACAGAGTGATCAATTATGATCAGAATTTAGTCAATTACACCTTTAAGGAGGAAGAACCGAGGTTGGGGTCGTAACATAAAGCAGAAAATCTAAAGTGGCTTTTCAAGAATAGCTTCAGGAAGCTAACGCTACTGTTCTCTTTTACCTGGTTGTATTTGTTGTGTGTGTTTTTATTTATTACTGTTATTGTAATCAAGGGTTCTGGGTGTGTTTTAGAGTAAACTATAAATATTTTGACATTTTCTTAATGCAACACTCTTTTCTTCAGCGGCATCATCATTCGCTGTGGAAGTACTTCCTTCAGCCCGTCACAATAAGAGTCCCAAACATAAACATTCTGGAGAATATTTGTCCTTGTTTAGGATTGTTGCAACAACAAATTTGCATTAGCATAAAAAGTATTTTTTTATTTTACTTTAAAAGAAAGCAAATAATCTTTAAACATTTTAATCTTGATCATTTCTGCTTCTTTTTTAATGCGCCAAACTGTGTCCAACACAAGCGCTCAAAGTTTACACACCAAATGTTTAAAATAAACAAATATATAATAAACAAATAAACATCTGTTGGAAAATAAATACAAATTCTGTGCAACCTATTTCTTTTAAACTGATTTCAGTGATTCTTGAGGTGGAAACTTGCAGCCCTCTGCTGACCAGAAACGGCACTTATCAGTTTTGTGGTTTTGTAGGAACACTAGGAGGAGTTTTCTACCTGCTTTACAACAGGAAAATGACTAAAATTTTGATTTATTTTTTTGACATCAGTGCTGAGCCTGGAAGTAAGAGTATGAGAGTAATGTCTTTAGAGGCAAAGCAAAGAGCTAAAACCAGAGTGAACATCAGTGCAGCCTACACTAGCGTCAGGGAGCTAAATGAGGCTATGAAATCATGGACTGATGGTGACCTGGCTTTGTTGCTACTGGATTTCAAAATATTAATAATTTCTGTCCGACAGCATAGATCGTTTTACTTCTTGGCTTATTTTAGCATTAGTTGGCTTGTGCTAACATTAGCTCATTGGTTGTTAGCGTTGGCATAGGGCTGGGCGATAAATCGAAAATTTATCATTATCAAAATTTCTGACTTATCGAGAATTTTTCCCATGTCAATAAATTTGATAACAAAAAAAATCAAAATATGTGTGTAGGTTAGCAACATTCATGTCTCTTTAAGAAGCTGTACCACCTTGAGTCACATAAAAATGTGACTGAACTAATACATGGGACACTGGGACAGCCCCATCTAGTGGACAACTTTTGTTTCTGCGCATACCTGTAGTTATCGTCCATTTATCGTTATCGAGGTGAAATCCTCAATATATTGTGATATTGATTTTAGGACATATCGCCCAGCCCTACGTTGGCAGCAGCAGCAGGCTGTTTTGGGACAGTTGTAATTCCACTTTCAACCAGTAGGAGGGAGAAGCTGGAAACACGTATTTATTGCTTTAGATTTGAGTGGCAACAGTCTGCTTAATAATCATCTGAATATCCAACACATGTTTAAGAATTCACCCTCTCACACTTATCACACACACACAGAAAAAGGTCAGCATCTACATGTGGAAAAACAAATGCAATAACACAAGTCTGAACTCCATTTTTAGACTGTAAAGAGCACTGAAGCATTCTTACCTAGAGTAGAAACAGCTTCACTGATCAAGTTTGTGCTTGTGGACGTTTCTGAGTTTCTACAAGAGAAACACACTTTGGGTGAGTCATACCCCAACTGTCATTTCCATCAGATAAACATCCACTGATCTTTACCCGACGCTGGTGGAGGAAGGTTCTGCAGCAGGAGACTGTTTCTCCTCTGGTTTCTCGTCAGAAGAGGGCTGTTCTGCTGGTTTTTCTGCACTGGGTGAGGAAGCAGGAGGCACCGGAGGAGCTTCAACGTTTGGAGTTGCTGCAGCAGCCGATGGCGTCTGTGAGGCCACGGAGGTGGTTTTGGGCTGCAAAACAAATTTCAGGCAGTAAAAATGCAGTTTCTGTCATTTTTCATCATAATGTAACTGAAATAATAATTCTGGGTTTTGCTTTTGCTTGTCTGCTCTTTCAGAATGACTCAGCTAAAATGAATACAAAATCCATTAAAACCATTTAAGCTTGCATTTATGTCATTCTAAACTGACAATAAGTGGATTGGTGGGATTTTTATCCCAAGATGATGATTTTAGTAGATTTAGCAATCAATATAAAAGAACCTGAATGAACCTGAAATACACCAAATGGCCACTGGGGATCCATGACTCAGCACAAACATGAAGCACCATCCTGGCTGCTTATATGAAAGAAATACTATATAGAAGGAGCAGCAGAAATGAAGGGTTTTTCTTTCTGATTAGAGACAAAAATCTCTTCCAGCAGCACAGCTACAGACTGGGAGTCGATGCACAGCCTGGAAAAGGTTTCCTTAAACAGGATGTGAGAAGGCAAGATCATGCAGCGAAGGACAAAAGTCAAGCGTGAGGCAAACATGTGTGATCGTTTCCAGAAGTCTGTTTCCTGACTCTAAAAAGTTGGCAGAGCGGTCAGTGGTCTCTGTCAAAAGCTAAAGATCTTTCCATAAAATAAAAAAAAACAAAATTAAACAATTAAAGCTGAATTGCAAAAATCATCACGGTTTCTCAAACCTTTGTCACCATGGCCACCACAAAGTTCTTCTCATCGATTTTGTATTCTTTGAGAGGCGAGTCATCGTTGAGGATTTTACCTAGGAAGAAACAGAGAGGAGCTAAATGTAACTGACTGGCTTTAATGATTCAGGTTTCGAAGCAAAATGATTCATTTTAAACCAGATAGAACATATTTATGATCTAAAATAGGGATACACTGAAATATCGGGCCAATATTTACCAATTTTTACACATAAGCCCATACACCTCTTTAGTAGAGCTGATTTAAAGTCCGGCACATCTGTGGGCAGCCCGGTGATGCTGCTTATTTACACCTATACTTCCTGAAATCATCTACTTAATTAACACTCTAATGGCAATGTCAACTGGCATTTCAGTTTATTCACCTGTTTTGTCTATTAAAGCAACACTAAAGGGTTTTTTAACATCTTAAGCTGTTGCTTTCAAACTGGTTTCAGTGGTTCTTCAGCCAGAAACTTGAGCAATTTTACATTGGACACCACTCGGTAAGCCTCTGCTGACCAGAAAATGCCTTTAACAGTTTTGTGGCTCGGCCAGGAACACCAGTGGGAGGCCTTAACCTGCTTTACGGTAATAGTCGTTTACTCTGCCGGTAGCTAATATAAAGGCTAGCAGTTAGCTCTTTCAGTTTTACAGCTGCCAATAAAAGCACAAGAGAAATTGTGCTTTTTTATTGGCATCATGTTGGAGCATGGTAGTAAAAGTAAGAGATACTTTGGAGGCAAGAGCTAAAACCAAAGTGAACATCAACATGGCCTACACTAGTTTGAGGGAGCTGAAGAAGTCTACGAAATCACGGGACTGTTAGTGACCTGGCTTATTGCTAATGGACTTGTAAGTAATAATGTTTGTTGTCCAAAGGTGTGGATCTTTTTAACTCGTGGCTTATTTTAGTATCAGCTGGCTTCTGCTAGCATAAGCTCATTGTTAGCGCTAGCTACAGCAGACTGCAGCAGGGTTGTTTAAGATAGTTGTAATTCCACTTTCAACCAGTAGGAGGGAGAAGCAGGGAAACTTATTTAGTGTTGCTTTAACACCTGGCCAGTTTATTTGTTTAACTTTTGTTAAATCTTTGATTGAAACACTAAATAGTGAGCAAAATGAATATTCAAGAGTTGGTTAAAAAATGATTTAGGTTCAGAAATGTTGTGCATTCACTGAGTGACATGCAGAAATGTGGACAGTGTCTTCATATTGGCCATGAAAATCTTTTAAGGTCTGAAAAGGCATCAAATAGAGGAGATCCTGCTGGTAAAAAACCTGTGATGCTCTTCTGAAAACACTTAGTAAATTATGATTTACTCTGATTATTGTGAGAATTCTAACATCTGGCATAAACAGAAAAAAAGAGTAAATAATCTATTCATTTAAAATGAGGGTTATTCCAGTTAGGACTCATCTCCTACCAGCATAGATCAGTTTCTGTCCTGCGACTGGAAAATGATCCTTTCCTTTCTCCAGCTCAATCCTCTCTTTTAATGTCTTCACCTGTAAAGGAAATGAAAAGATCCATAAACCTTTCTGACACCAACGTTCCCAGACCTTTCCATCACGGCGGCAAAGTCTAACTGCAACAAGAAAAAAATAAAGTCCAAAGTGTGAAATAAGTGCTAACAAGTCAATAAAACCAGTCAGACTTAGTACTTCTCACACATAAGACAAATCCAACCAGGTTATAAACATTTCTTTTGAACATGAAATAGATTTTGGCTCTACTTAATAATACAAGAAGGATTTATAGCGACAAAATCAACAAAAACAACAGTATAAAAGCATAATGAAAGCAAAACTTGTGGGCGAAGTAAACATCCACATCTGGAATGTTGATTAGCGGGCTAGGGCTAACTGCTGACAACACTTTATTTTCTGCTCAAAACGCACTAATAGTAATCATCTGTTCTGAATGGGACATTGAAAGCAGATATTACAGGACCTAACGACGCAATTACACAATTACTATTTCGTGTTTTACACAAACCTCTCTAAAACCTGTCCTCGTTTCCAGGACATATCCACTCCCACACCACCCCTTCACAAATATGTGTAAATCTCACCGTTTCTTCTTCGTCGATGTCAATTTTGAACGTCTGCTGTTGTAAAGTCTTCAAAGTTATCAGCATGTTTTCGGATAAGTTTCACTCCCAGTCTAAGTTTAAACTTCGTAAATACAACTTCTAAGAGTCTACATTTGTTTTTTGTTGGCTCATTGCAAACTGTCAGCTGCCATGACTTTTCGGTTTTCTTCTTCTACGGAAGATATTCAGACTCCGGCGACCTAGGCAGCGCCCCCAGCGGTGTGCCTACGAAGAGCAGCGTGCTTTTCTGCTTTTATCAGACATTTTCATCATTTTTGAATCTACAAATACAAATGGGCACACTGTGAAAGACCCACTAACAACCATATGTTGGATTATTTTATTAGTAACAACGAAAAGCTACTTAAATATTCTCAAAATATTTAAATAAGTTGTAAAATGTCTGAGTCTTTTTGGAGACAACTCTGATAGTGTTGATGGATGGCTAGGATAAGTTATAATAACTCACAGTCCTGCTGTCTAGTAGGCATTATTAAAGCTTCAAAAGCACAAACAGCAGGCTGAGGGACAGCTTTCTCCCTTTTTTACAGTAAAGATTTATTTTTATAGCTACATTTTCTCTTGTATTTTTATGTCTGCTGTGCCAAACACACCGTCTGAGTGCCATCCAGCTTCATTGTATTTAAATGCTGATAAATATGTCATAGTGATTTATTTTACATTTCAGAATATTATTACAAAAGTTTTTAAAAAGTCCAAAGCCAAGTAATTTGTGATTAGTTAATATTCCGTTCATTTGTATTTTTTAAAGGACTCAGAACAGTTTTCCCCAGAAGAATACACTGGATATTTAATTATTTCTTTAATGCATTCTTACATATAGCCAATTTTTTTAGTGCTATACAGCCAAAGGCCAGACTGAGATGTCCAGAGGAGAGACATGAAGGATGCTGAGGTTGGAGCCACCAGGAAAGAGGCTGTGAGGAAGAGCAAAAAGGAGGTTTATGGATGCAGCGACAGAGGTCATGAACTTCGTTGGTATTAGCTGGGTAGAGGAGTTAGAAGACTGAATGGAGACAGATGATTTGTTATGGAGATACCTGAAGGGAAACACCTGAAGTGGAAGAAGATTCACTGATTTTTAAATGTTTATATCTTTGTCCTTTATATGGTGTTTGGTTTATTTTGATATTTCCGTTTTGAAGCTGTTTTTGTAGACAGTCCAAGGCACTGTCAGAAAATTCATTATTCCAAGATGACGATGCCAGGATTCATCGGGTTCAAATAGTGAAAGAGTGGTTCAGGGAGCATGAGACATCATTTTCACCCATGGATTGGCCTTCACAGAGTCCAGACCTCAACCCCATTGAGAATCATTGGGATGTGCTGCAGAAGGCTTTGTGCAGCGGTCAGACTCTACCATCATCAATGCAAGATCTTGGTGGAACCTTAATGCACCACTGGATGGAAATAAATCTGGTGACGTTGCAGAAGCTCTTCAAAACAATGCCACAGCGAATGTGTGTCGTAATCAAATCTAAAGGTGGAACTATAAGAGCGTGTGACCTTTTTACTTTTGTGGCGACATCTTTTTGGCCGAGCTGTGTGTGTTTTCACTCTTGTCTCAAGGCAGAGATTGTTTCAGAAGTAAAAACATCTTTGTTTACTTCCATCCTTTATATGTTCCAGAATTGTCTCTAGGAAAACCGTCGAGTTGAGCTCAGGGATGTCATTGTGTTCCCAAAATCTCATATCGTTCCCTTTTACCCTGCACATTTAAATCTGTCCATCCTCACCCTGTCTTCGTCCTTCTTGCCTGTCTCATGTCCTGACATTCTCCTCTGTCTCCACTCAGTCCACCCCCGCCATCCAGTCATCAAAAAAGAAGCAGTGCCCTCCCTGGCCTTGGCCTGAGTTTGCACACACACACACACACACACACACACACACACACACACACACACACACACACACACACACACACACACACACACACACACACACACACACACACACACACACACACACACACACACACACACACACACCAGACATTCCTTGTGTTGCTACACTCATCACAGCACCCCACCCCCACCAGATGTGCCTCTCTCTCCTGTCTCCAGGGGTCGTTAGTCTGCCTCCTCTGAAGTGGTGAGCTGAAGAGATTACTGTCTGATCTCTGGTGACTTGGAGATATTTTTAAGTGATGATGTTAGACAGGTGAAATCAAAACTGAAGCCCCCTCAAAAATATAAGATAAGACATGTAGAGGACATGAGAAAAAAGCAGATATTAGTAAAAAGAGAATTCCAGTGCACTGATAAAAATTTAAAAGCAGACGTAACAAGCTGCTGTTCTCCTGGATTTATATTCTGGGTGAAAAGCGCCACAGCGTTCCGCGCACAAGCACACGGTGGTAGTTGTGGCTTTTGGTGGGCAGAGCTCCTGCAGGGAGTGGAGCTGGAGAGCAGAGAGAAACCAAGGGTGGAACAGAGTGAGGGCCACTCAGAGGCCTTCTCATCCCAATGCTATTTCCTGTGAACAAGGTGCAGTCTATTATTGGCTGTTCCTGGTAATCTGCTGCAACCAGCTCTAGGGATCAGTCCTTGTGTCTCTGAAAAAAATAAATAAACGTGCTACTGAAAATTTCTTTTAATTTCTGGAGAAGATGTACAAAGTCTTTTCTGTCAGATGTTTTACCTTCACTCACGTCTTCTCGGCTCAGCGTCCTGGTTGACTCATCCATCTGTTATCATCAGATGATAATGATCCCTTAAAACAAAGCCTTTGGGATTACAGCATCACACACTGCATTATTTTACTGGATGAGTGAAATTAACGAACGGTTGCGTTGGAGAAAAGTGCCCACCAAACTCAAACATGGAATCATTCTGGGATTGATCAGCACCAAATGGTGATCCATCTGTACCAAACAAAGCAGGCTGCAGTGAAAACAGACTCAGACGTCTGTTTTTTCTTCATGGTGGTTTGAGGAGCTCACATTAAATATATGTGTGGAGAAAATTATATGTCTGTTGAATTTAGAATTTCTGTTGCTGCTGGTCCAGATGTTTCGGTCAGACATTACATGTTCTCATCCATCCATCCATTCATCCATGGGAGAGACTCGGAGTAGAGCAGCGGCTCTACTCCGAGTCTCTCCCGAATGTCTGAGCTCCGCACCCTATGCATCCATCCATGGATTCATTCATCCATCCATGCATCCATTCGTGGATTCATCCTTCAATCCATTCATTGATCCATCCATGCATCCATTCGTGGATTCATCCTTCAATCCATTCATTGATCCATCCATGCATCCATCCATGGATTCATTCATCCATCCATGCATCCATTCGTGGATTTATCCTTCAATCCATTCATTGATCCATCCATGCATCCATCCATGGGTGACATTTTCCTTTTGAGTCTAGTGTTGTGCACCTTAAAAGGACCAATGTTTTAGATCTCTACATCTAAATCATCCCCTTCTTTACATAGAATAGATTCAAAAGCGGGAAAATTCACTCATAAGGTGGCACATACACATACATGTAAATACTCAAAAGCAGTCTGTGATTACTGTAACCCTTTAGCAATTGCAAAATGAATAAATATAGACATTTTTTTCCAGCATAAAAGACACAGAAATACAAATGTGCATCTGGGTATTGCACACGTATTTCACACATACTGACTATAGCTGTTAAAGTGTAACAGGATAATGCCAGTACCAGTTAAACTGAGGAGTTTCACACTCTTACTGTAGAGGGGATTAATGACCTAAGGTAGTGTTCTGTTTTTCATCTTGGGTGTCTCAATCTGCCACTAAAAGAGCTGTCCATGGCCTCCACAGTGGGACGGGGGTGGAGGGGTGTTCCAAGATGGAGGATATCTATGCCAACATCCTCCTTTCACACACGTCCTCCAGAAACAAGCTAGCTTTTTAAAACTCTCCCACTGTCCTAATGGATGTTACCCCACGAGGAAAGTTGACCATTGAGCAGGGTTGATGGTTTATCCCTTGGGTCCACGTGGCAGGGGTGAGGAGTGAGCACCACCTCACCCCTGCCACGTGGACCTCAAGGGATAAACCATCAATCCTGCTCAATGGTCAACTTTCCTCGTGGGGTCACCCATAAAGACAGTGGGAGGGATAAACTAGCTTCTTCAGTCTCTTTCTGCCTTGGTCAGAGCTGCCTGCACCATAACAGACCACAAGAGTGAATAACAGAGCCACCAACAGACTGATAAAAGGATTTTAGTAGATGGGAATTAACTCTGAAGGACCTCAGCCTCCTCAGGAGGTGGAGGCAACTTAGGCCCTTCTTATACAGAGCATCTGTGTTGCGGGACCATTTCAGTTTACTGTTGAATGAAAACCCAGGAACTTAAAGGTATCTACCACCTCAATGTGTGCACCTGGATGTTTACCGGTGTGTGAGGAGGAGTGTTTCTCTGAAAATCAATCACCATTTCCTTTGTCTTACTGGTCTAGAGGGAGGTGGCTAGATTTGTTCAGGTTGGTGTTTGCCAAAAGACCAAACCATTTCAAAGGATGGCTGAGAGAACAAAGAGAAGCGTGATAAACTGTTATCTGATAACTTTATTATCAAGTTAAAAAAAGACAATGAATTACAATATTTACAGAATATCCAGAGATAAATGGAATAAAATTGTAAACAATCATTCTAGGCAACATCACAACCCACCATCAGGTAATCAAATTCATAGGAAAAAAAGGCAAGGAGAGATTCTAGTTTCAAATTAAGGAGACAACAGTCTGAAAAGAGAAATGCATTGGAAACAAACTAAACATATATACAAGTATCCAGTGTGTCTTCAGCAGGGGGTTCACGTTTGGTAAACTGGGAATATTACAGTCTAGAGACTGCACACAGTGAAAGATTCATAGTCTTTTTTTTTAGTAAAATGATCACAGAACAACAAAGAATGTCAGGCTGACAGCTTCGTTACCAGATTGTCCCAATTCATCGTCTCCATCTGGTTGGAGGCAACGAGCTGCCTCACAAAAGCTCATTTCTACAACAACTACGCGCAAAAGGTTCGACTTTAAGGGAGATACAGGCTAGTTCTGCAAAGGAAACGACAAAAACAAAGAAACAACATAAAAACAGTTTCATATTCAGCACTGACTTGACTGGTTTTAAGGTATTTTGAGGACTGAGGTGTCAGATAAGAAGTGCTATCTTCACCTGCTACGTGTGGAACAAGTTTCCCTTTTCTGGTCACAAGCAGAAGACAGCCGAGTGTCAGGTGAAGTTCTAGACGTGGTAGGTTCTGATCTCATCTGAAGGCCGAGCACAAACCCAGATGGTCAAAGGAGGACGTAAACAGTTCAGGTAAAAACGCTCCCAGAGGAACCGTCTCGTCTTTCTTTGCCATCAGTTTAATTCTTCACAAAAAACCCTGTTTGTTTATCAGTGAAGAGCAGCGTACATCTTCTGTTATGTAGAGCTTTGAACAAACACATCAGGCGTTGTTTTTCTGTTCGTTCTCAGCTCAAGACATTTTTAACCAGATGTGGTACAACAGTTACAGTATGTTGGATTTAGGACTCAAAGCCCATAAAGGTAAGCTATCATTATATTATTAAAACAACTAAAGGAAACAATCTTTTCTGTTGCGTTTTTCTTTTCCTAAACGTGGCTGCAGACACGTCCTGGGTGTGAACCGTAGAACTATAATCCAAAGATTCTACAGCCCCAAAACTCATTTTTAAATCTTTTTCATTAAGGACGAATACAGCAGCAAACACAGCAGGCTTCTTAAAATGTTTTGGTACCGAGAACACGGCAACATTAAAGTTGTGCTCCACTACAAATTACACACCAGAGCAATCAGACTATTTATTTTTCCAGATTAACGATAATCTGGCTAATTAATTAATCTTTGTGGAATTCGATTTAAAAAACTGAAATGGTGTTCAAATATATTTTAGTGAATTGTTCATTTCTCATAAGGCTTTAGGGTATTCAAGCAGCAACGTCCAACAAATACAATCTCTGCTTATTTAAAATGATAAATCAATAAGATAACCTATTGTTAAAAGATAAGAACGTGCTTATCAACACATAATGAGATGTAACAGCTGATTTTAAAAAACATTTAAAAGTCAGTCTTTGATGTGTGTGAAGAAGATGTTCGGGACTTCCTGCTTGGTTTACACTTGTCTTTTCAGTGGATGACAACTGGACAGCGGGCTACAGCAGAACGTACCAAACACTGTCGAAAATTCAAATGACAAGAAGATGCTCGTAAATAAAAGCTCACAAATGTATTCTTTCATCGTTATCGTCTTGGTATGAAACTGATGCACCTTTTAAAAGCCGTTAGCACAACCAACAAAAACCACTCAGTTCTACTGATGTGGGTCGGAGCAGAATCCTTCATATGTCTAAAATTAAATTCATCTTCTTGAAGCCATAGTTTTAAAAGGACTTTTCAGATCCTATTTTCTAAGCGAGTTTATGCCCAAATTGGCCTCATTTTTGAGAAACCGATTTGTTCTACCAAGACAGATTAGCTAACGGCTAGCCGGGCTAAATCACCTGTCTTTCATCTTAAAGCATATAAGCGCAGAAAACACTTTACAAAAAACACAATTTTTGAAACCTGTACACCTGCTTTAAATTTCATATTCCTGTGGAGTTCGATGAAAATCTGACAGGAAGTGGTAAACTCTTAACAGGAAGTGATACATCTAGCTAGCTCTGTAACTGTAAATAACCATGTAAGATCACCTTTAAAACACCCTACAGGTTTGCAAAATATCGTTTCCATAAACCACTACAAAATATTCAAATTAGGAGTAAAATTGGCTCGACACCGCTAGGGTTAGCTTGTTAGTCCAGCCACAACAGACCCGAGTCTCGAAATAGATTTTGCTCAAATTTCTATCAGCAGGTAAGACTATTTATAACTTTTTACACAGATACAAATGAACTTTGTTGGGTTATACTTAAACCCAAATCGTACTAGTTTTACAGAAGTTCATGTATTATGTGGGCCCGAGTTGCATTTTAAGGCACTAACTCAACGGTATCAAAACACAGCCGAGGTGGACTGAACCAGTCTGATCCAGAGCAGCGAAAAAGACAAGTGTAACCTTTATTAAGAGACCATGCTGTTAAAATCTGTTCAGTTCTAGGCTAAATCTGAATGGATGTGGATAAACTCAGTGTTTTCATGATTAGGTAAACTGGATTAATAAATATGACACAAAAACGGAGGGTTTTTTCCTATGGTTTCATCAGTGACAGAGACAAATACAGTACAGTAAAACGAGCCGAGCATCAGAGGTTGAAGGCTTATACTTAGTATAATATAAAGGGATGTAGAATATAGCAATTTGCTACAGAAACTGGGGGCAAACGTTTCAAATCTCTACAATGAAGAAAACATTAGTTGTGATTTTACTAAAATAGATAAGGTGCAATTCTTCTTTAAAGGAACATTTCCACACATGAACCACAAAGATGAATAAAAGGAGATAAAAGAAGTCCCAAATTTCACCAAGAATAAGAACCGGTAGCTCTTTAGTGGGCTGTTGTAAATGCTCTCATATATTGTTTGTTTGGGTGAAGTCACAGAACCCCTGTTTTGTTTGAGTGGGGTGGAGCTTACAGTAAAAAGGTGCTTGAAATAATAAAATGCTGAATTTAGTTCATCAGTTTGGACAATAGTCTTCATAAATAGCTTAGTTTTTGTTGAGGTGGGATCTTTCACTGCAGATTTGACCAGAATGTCAGCAATAAAGAGTTCTGTTCACTATTGGTTACCAATATATTAAGATCTGTCCAACGGGACTGCCCATTTAAAGAGCTCAACCTATGCAGCACAACCTAATACTTATATATATATAACACCTAAAATCTACTAATGCACCAACTGATAGAAAAAGTCACTTTTCTTAAAGTTTCAGCCTCCTTGTTTCCTTCTGACTCAGCGCTGACGTTCCTCGTGTCCTAGCACAGCATCCCAAGGTCCCACGATCAGTTCAGTCAGACTGGTGATCCTTTTTGGTGTAAAGCATTTCTTTGTCTTCCCCAAGCTGGCTTTGACCTGTCAGTGATAGACCAGCGGTGGTTTCATCCTCTTTGCTGTTGCTGGCTGGGTCCAGTCGTGAGTCTGAGAGCACAGACGAGCCTGTGGAAGATGATGCTGAGGTGTCCACTGCCGAGGTGCCGCTGGTGTCCAGGCGACTGTTGTTAACCCCCCTAAAGATGGCGGGGAGACACAAAGCAAGGAGGATACAGATTTACCCATTCAAGCTGTTTTGTCCAATTTGATTTCTCTTCAAGACCTTTGATTAGAACTTTAAAATCATGATGAGTCTGGAAGCAAAACTTAAACATGGGAGATCTGTTACTGATTACAGGCGATGTGTTCATGGACCAGGACAAATGTTAGTTATTTGAACAAAATATCTCCTTCAAAGTCCAACCAAGCTCAGGACGATCTTTGTGGAGCATCTCAATTTTCTGCTGAAATATCTCTTTGTTTTCTGGTCTGGGAAGGCACCAGAGCAAAGTGCTTTGTTTGTTGTTTTAAGTCTGTGGGCATCAGCATTGCAGAAACATAGCAAATGAATGCCAACAGCATGTTTCTGATGCGGGTTAGGATGACTCTGTGGTAGCTGTCAGTAAATTTGTAAGGGGGTTACATTTATCAGGAAATGTCTTTAATTGATGTTTTTATGTTTTGAAGATTGAAAGTTAAATAAATGAACAGGGCAAATAGTAAAAATCAACATATACTGTAGCTGTTTTAGTTGGTTTTATGTATGCAAACAATTCTACCCTGCAATTAGGCGTTTAGAATACTAAACACACTGCCCGGCCAAAATAAAGTCGCCACCGAAACTAAAGGTCACACACACTATTTTTTGGACCACCTTTAGCTTTGATTATGACACACATTCGCTGTGGCATTGTTTTGAAGAGCTTCTGCAATGTCACCAGATTTATTTCCATCCAGTGTTGCATTAAGGTTCCATCAAGATCTTGCATTGATGATGTTAGTCTGACCACTGCACAAAGCCTTCTGCAGCACATCCCAAAGATTCTCAATGGGGTTAAGGTCTGGACTCTGTGGTGGCCAATCCATGTGTGAAAATGATGTCTCATGCTCCCTGAACCACTCTTTCACTATCTGAGTCTGATGAATCCTGGCATCGTCATCTTGGAATATGCCCATGCCATCAAGGAAGATGGAACCTAATTCTTGGAGCACATCCTGTTGCTGAACCTAGGCCTGACCACCTGCTGCAACCCCAGATCATAATACTGCCCCCACAGGCTTGTACAGTAGGCACTAGGCATGATGGGTGCATCACTTCATCTGCCTCTCTTCTTACCCTGATGCACCATAACTCTGGAACGGGGTCCATCTAGACTCATCAGACCAGTTTTATTAATGCGTTCAACAGTTCTTAGCCCAGCTTTAGTCATTTATGCTATGTCCTCAGATGTTTTCTCAGCTTGATGCATGCCAATGATCTGACCCTTCTCACACAGACTAACATCTTTTCCATGACCACCAGATTTGTCTTTCCACTTGGTTGTTTAAGAAATGAGATGCAGCTCATTGCACCCATTGGGGTTAAATAACTTGTTGTCAGCTGAAAGAAAATAACCCATGCAGCATACGTGCATTATCCAATAGGAGGCTTGGACCTATTTGTTTAGTTAAATCCAGGTGGAGACTTTTTTTTTTTTGGCCGGGCAGTGTAGTAGAGGTATAGTGACCAGAAAAATCCCTTGTTTGGAATCTTTTAGCTAGAAAACATTTACAACTTTAACATAAATTGGGAAGAAAATGTATACTGTTGACCGCAGCTTTTAGTAATTAATACAAATCAGTAGAAACTGACTGGGAAAAACAATTATAATTATTAAAAATTGTAATCGGCCTAAAAGGCCTAATCGGTGCATGTCTATCAGAATCTATAAAGATCTGCTAAAAAACTGAAACTTTAAACAAATCAGTTGTGTTCACGATCTAAAACAGACAGGAAGCATGCTAGAACCAGACTGCAGCGCCTGGTACGTCAGCTCCAACCTATGGCTCCAACAGACCGGAGTGGAATATTCTGGCCACAGGGGGCGATAGAGGCTGGGTGGCCTTTCATTAACACTGTAAAGAAGGGATGTTCAGTTCTGGGCCTGGAGGGTTGGTATTCAGCATGTTTTACAGATTTTTCACCTCCAATACACTAGATTCAGTGGTTGAATCACCTGTGCAGAAGCTCATCAGACTTTGCAGAAGCCTGTTAATCACCTGCTGATTGAAATCAGGTGTGTTGAAACAGAGTTAAAACTAAAATGTGCTTGATACCGGCCCTCCGGGCCTGGAGTAGAATACCCCTGCTGTAAAGGGTCATTTAGCACATACTGGCTCAAGAAAATGATTTAAAAATATGAAAAAGTGGCATATTGTCTCTTTAAAGCACAAAAACCTCTGGTTACTCAAATATTCACTCAGAAGGACAACATTTTCAACACACACACACACACACACACACACACACACACACACACACACACACACACACACACACACACACACACGCACACACACACACACACACACACACACACACACACACACAGGAGAGAAGAAGAGTACTAACATGCCGTGTCGAAGGACGTGCCTCTCCCACTCGAGGCTGTTGGTGAAGCAGCGACCACAGAACTCACAAGGAAGACGCTTCTCTCCACTGTTTGGCCCAGAGCCAGTGCTGCTGGGAGATGCAAGGACTTCTGGGAAATGAAGTTTAAATAAGCCATTTAGAATACAGGAAGTATGTCCAATGTAAAGCTACTTAGATTTTATTTGAATAACCTTGCTGGGTGGGGGATTTCTCCTGCACCACCTCCTTGACCTCTTGCTCCTGTTCCACTTCCTCCTCTTCCTCTTCCTGTTCCTCCTCCTCCTCCTCCTGCTCCTCTTCTTCTTCCCCCTCATTGTCCTCCTCTCTGATGTCATCCTCTATGTCTTTACCATCCATCTCTTCCTGGTCATCTTCCATGTTTTCAATAATTTCCATCCCGTCGTCATCATCGTCCACCAGCTCCTCCTCTTCCTGCTCCTCCTCCTCTTCTTCCTCCTCCAGAGAGGCTTGTCCATCCTCGACTATCTCCATTATTCCTTGCTCCTCTTCATCATCTGTGCTGCTGCCTTGTTCGTTTACCATCTCCAGCTGGTCCAGGTTGACTCGGCCCATCAGCTCAAAGTTACGGATGACCTAATCAGAAACGGGACGAACGTTTTCAGTTTAGACTTTTAATGAACACATTTAAATGACTGACAACATCAAAATCAGCAAAAATGTATTTTAATCATGACTTTTTAATTAAAACAACAAAAATTTCAACTGCATGGACTAGAAATGGTTTTTGGTAACTGAGCAGATCTGCGGGATGGAGCCTACGATAGACAATAAGATGAATCTGTACTAGTCTGTTCTCTTAACTGACTTTGTGCTCAAGGCGCAGATGCTCCTCCAGCTGGTTCTGGCGGCTGCTGTCATAGTAGCAGAGCTGGCACTGGTAGGGCTTGATCTCATCATGCTTCTGCAGGTGGAGCTGCAGCGCCTGGTCGCTGGAGCAAGTGAAGGTGCATTTGTGGCAGCGGAACACCAGGCCCTCGAGGTGGCGAGACAGCTTCGATCGGCTGATCTCCAGAGGAGCCATGCGCTCTTCTGTAGGAGGAATCAGGAAAAAGGGATTAATGAGAGTAAGTGGGGGAGAGGGGAGGAAGAGCTGCATGGGCTGAGGATGCAACATTGAAACACAACAGATGAAATTTTCTGAATACATGTGATGCACTGTTGTGGATAAGAGCGGGAAGAGGCGACTTCCTGGAGTCTAGACGTCACTATGGAGTTGCCAGGCAACCAGTGAGACTCCAGGCCAACAAAAAATGCAGGAACAGAAGTTTTCCATGATTCCACTCTTCATGCAAAGTGAACCGTTAACGTTTACGTCTGGATTTTACATTAAAAGCAGTAAAATATTAGCTTCTGCTACCATCTAGGGAAAAAGTAGGAGTCGTTTTTATATAAAACATCATAAAATATGCAAATACAAAAGCTTTGTAAAAGCAGCAAGGCTACATGTATATATATATAGATATATATATGTGTATATACACATATATATATGTATATATATATATGTATATACACACACATATATATATATATATATATATATATATATATATATATATACATACACACATATTTATTAATGTAACCATTCAAGGCAACATAGCTCCAAGTGCAAAAATGTAGCAGTATTTCAAATATCTGCTAGAAAAAACTTCTAAATAAAACAAATACAGACTCCTAAGGAACATAAAACCTTAAAAATCACCAAATAACTTCTGATTATAGAATATGGGCTTTTGTTGCAATAACCTAAGATAAAACTTGCCTTGTTATCAATTATCTTTTCATTTTTGCTGACGTTTAGGAGTTTTTCTAAAGCGCTTCAGCATTGAGGCTCAGGAAGAGCCATAAAATGAAAAAAAGGCAGCTTTGAGATTTAAAACAAACAAACAAAAAAAAAAAACGACTATTGTTCTTACCTAATTCCTGAACAAACATGGGTGAACTCCCACCTTTGTGCAGAATGATGTGGTCGATCATGTTGCTCTTGTGTTTGGTGTGGTAGAGGCAGAGAGGGCAGCGCAGCTCTTTAGAAATCTCCTCAGGTAAATTATTGTTGTGACCCGCATCCACGTGCATCGTGAAGTTATTCCTGTTTAAAAAACAGTAATTTGTTTATTTTAACACACGTTTGGAAGCTTTATTCGGAATGCAAACGTGCAGCGAAGCGTCTCACTTGTAGCAGGTGAAGAAGGAGCAGTCTTTGCACTTGAAGAGCTTCTTGCCACCGTGGCGGTCCCTGTAGTGCCGACGGAGACTCTGCATGTATCCAGAGCTGAACTCACAGAACTCGCACGTGAGGACGACTTCTGGACGACTGTCGAACACCGCTGTGAGAGCGGATTTGGGGCTGGAAGACGTGTTGCCACGGGACGCCAGCTTGTAATGACTGAGCTGCTGGCGGACATCTGCTGGCTCCAGGTACAATGGATCTAAAAGACAGAAACAGGGGAAAACTCATTCTTCCACATGTGTTGAAACTAGACATCAACCCATAAGGATTTTTCTGTTGCTGATGCCGATGTGTAGAGGTCACGGTCATGTAAACCCAACCACTCACTAAGCATTTGTACAACTCCTGAACCTGTCTCTGGCCACAGCGTGTTGTGTGTAGGGATGGGTACCTTTGACATTTGAATCGATCTGGTACTAATTCCCAGTACCTACGAATCGATACCGGTACTTAACGGTACCAATTTTCGATACTTTTGAGTGTTTATTATTTTAATGCTCTTTTATAATTAAATATGTTTTTTTCTCAATATATAACAATATTTGATAAATATCACGATAAATAACATTCAACTGTTTGTATTAACATCGTCCTTGTAGTTTTATAAGCTGATAATTAAACTGAAGCAAACATCTTTAATGTGAACTAAATTTACTGTGTATCTTCATTCCTTTTGCCGTCTTTTTTCATTTGATTTTTCCTACTGGGAAGTAAGAATTTCCGAGGAGAAAGTGAACGCACCATTAGCTGATAACAATGGTAGCAATGGAAGCTAAGATATCAAGCTAACGTTATCTTAACCAGTTTATTTAGCTGCTGGAGCAGATTAAAACGATGATGCCTCACACTTAGATCGTTGTCACTGGTTTCGTCTTCACCCAATCACCCGTCACATTTAGTAAAGTGAACCCAAACTTTAGAGCGCGTTCATGTTCTTCTAGTCGGGAATTCGGAGTTCCGAGGAGAAATCGAACGCACCATTAGCGAAACAGAAGCTAACATATCAAGCTAATTATATTTACCCACCAGAGCAGATTAAGATGAGGATGTCTCACTTAGATCGTTGTCGCTGGTTTCATCATCACCCAGTTACCCATCACATTTAGTGAAGTGGACCCAAGCTTTAGCGTGTGTTCTTTCTACCATGCTGCTCTGTTTACAACTCGCTCGCAGCGACCGACGACAAAACGCTCTTGTGCATGCGCAGCTGTCTTGGCAAGTTCTCGTTATGAAGGACGGGTACCGAAACGAGGCACCGTTTGAAACGACGTGAATCGGTGCTCGGTCGGTACTATGGAATTCGGTTGGTACCTTAAAAAGTACCGAATTCGGTACCCATCCCTAGTCATGTGATGTGCTGCCATTTCTTTGAGTTTTTATTTATAATATCACTAATAACAACAAAAGATGCACAACATGAACCTGAATCTGATTTTTAACAATGAATTTAATCAACTCTTGAATCTCAGAATTAAAAGAACCTCTTCTTGTAAAATTTAAATTAAACCGGCGTTACGGCAACAAACGCCTCATTTCTGAGACTAGATATCGAGACTTCCTATCTGGATAGCCATAGACACGCCTTACTTTAAATCGGCTCAACTAAATGGGTATCTTGGCCGATGCAATATAGAAAAATAGGTAAACTTGTTCGATTGGCAGTCAATCCCTTAGGTGAAACTGGCCCATTAAATAATCCGCACATCAGGATGCAGCTAAACCAATCAAAATCTTTCATTTCAAGTCATTTTTCTTCTTCTATTGCTCGTGTTTCTATCAAAACCTATGAAGTCCACTTTGGTGTGTTTTTCACAGGCTGTCTTCACTAGATCATGTCAACAGATGTGTCAGCTGCACGTTTGCACCACCATTCTTCTTCTGAAGCACGCCTTGAAGCCGTTTAGTCAGATTCTTGTCTGGCGACGGGGAGTGGACACTCTACAGACAACCTTTGCACAGCTGGGTGGTAAATCCTCAGGGTAAAGGTTAGAATGGCCTTAAACATGTGGACAAGCTTAGAAACAATCAGATAGAACATTAGAACCATTCCTGATTGGTGAGGAGGGACCCGAAGCGTGCTCAAAAATGCTTCCCAGGAGCACCGACAACAATGTCTACCAGAGGAACTTCACAACAAGTTGTGTTAATCCAGTCTACGTCAGTCTGGGTGAGCTGGTTTTCCCTGCAGTCTCAGATTTCTGGTGTTTACAGCCAATCTGCCTAAATCTACAACATGCATGGAGAGAATTATGGGATGGTTTGTGAACCATCACAACAGCAGGCCTCTCGGTCCACGTCAGCTTGAATTTTTTTCATCCGCTCAAACATCTGGACACTGAAACCATCTAAGCAGGCTGTTTTACCTCAGATCTAATTTTCTCCCCATTAGGATGTTTGGCAAGAGAATTTTTCTGAACCTCCAAGCACATACCTGCATTTTTTAAACCGTTCCAACGAGTGATTGTTTGCAACATTTATTAAAAGGCCAACAGGAGACAGAAGCTGAAGCGTGCCTGTCTGACAGAGCTCCCACCTCCTCATCTCTACAGAAGTGTAGCTGTGACTGTCAGCAGTACCTTCCTCCTTCCCATCTCATTCCCACCCTCCAGAGACACTGATTTCCGTGATCGAGCTCATATCCTCGTCCTACTTTGAGCTTCCAGCACATCAATAAATAAACCAAAGTGACACTAATAGAACATGTGCCCATATGAAAAAAGCCTCATTCAGCACTCGGAGTGGGAGAACGCAGTCAAAAGGGGAAAGATATTATTTAATAATTGTTCTTTCTGAAATTTTTGAGATTCAGTTTCTGAATTTCTTCCGATTTTGCAGAAAAGGCAGAGAAATGTACACGACTGAGACAGTATCATGATCTTCACTTAGCCCGTCTACGCTTATTCATAACAGACAACGCTAACATGAAGAGGTTAAATTAAGTCTGTAATTGAGCCAGGAAGCACAGAGAAGGGTCAGCTGTTTCGCAGGTACACAATCAGACATTTACTTTAACATGTAGCAGATGTCACAGAAATGACTGAGAACCAGGTGAGCTTATCAACAGCCTTTCTGAGATGTCTGAGTAAACACTGCTGCTAATAGGAGGCAATGAAAGGGTAACCTTCATCACCAAGAACAAACACCTGCTCTGTCTGGATCTTAGGCGTTCAGATGAAGGTAGCTGGTCTGGCACAACGAGGAGACATCCAATATGTCAGCTCTGCTCTGGCTCAATGCTTCATTTGTCTTGGTTGTGCACAGCTGACAGCGGCGGATGGTGCACTGAAAAATGCTGCCCTGCTTCAGCTCCAGGGAAGATTCCACAGCTCCAGCAGCAAGGTGACAGCTGCTGCCAAGAAGAGTCTCCGAGCTAACGCTGCTGCTGCAAAACCACCAAAACACCTCAAACATGGCATCACATCAGCTTACAGGAGAGGCGTCTCCTTGGAGGGGACATGCTCTCCAAAGGGAGGTGTCAAATTCGACACTCGTGCTTCAAATCGGAGCAACAGTTATAAAGATATTTTACCCAATGATTTTTCTTAAATATAAAGACTTATTTAGACACATTCCTGAACTTTGTGGATATATGCTCTCTGTCACTCCCTCAAGGCTTGCTGCGTAACGTCACTTTTGTAAAATCAAATTTCTCTTGTTTACTGGCAGTTTTCCAACTTGCGTGCACAAACAAACACATAAAGCTGCGTTTCAGCCTTGAATAAAGTTTTATCAAGGCTGTATAACAACTTTAAACCCGACCAAACACAGTAACCCCGGTGAAATCATTTATTACTTGCCTATCCATTAGCAGCACGGCTAGGTCAGAGTCCGTAGTACAGGCCGTTCTTTCAAGAAGAACTCTCCAGCCGGCCCAATTTTAATTCTGGTCTTTGCTCTTGCTCTATCTATCTTTTTCTTTTCCTAGATTCCTCTGACAAGGAATTTCTAGCTTTCTTTGGTGGATTTGCCATTGCTTAAGTCTCTAAACTGCGGGTCTACCACAGACATATATATGTAGACGCCCCATGGACTAGCGCCAAGTCTCCATTCACTTCCAGTGCATTAGTTTCTACTGAGAAAAGTTGCTACCCAACTAAAAACACATTTTATCAAGCTTTTTCCCAAAATCAGACGCAAGAAGTGATACACCAATACGAAATTTTTGGGCCGATACTGATATCCGATGTTAATATCACTGTTATTTATGGCCGATAACCAATATTTGCCGATACCGATATGCTGACTTTAATGCTTCTAAAATCAACAGATTTGAAATAGAATGAAAATGATTCAAGTCGAATTTACGTTATTATGTACACACACCAAACACATTTACACTTTTGAGACGATTACAATCACTGTCACATGACTATAAACAAATACACATCACCCCCTCGCCCTCTGAATCAGATAAACAAATGGAAACAAGATGGAAAAATATTGGTTGTTAATATCGGCCCAGTTTTATTTATTGGACCGATGCCGATATGTTAAAAATGACTAATACTGGCCGATACTGATATTGATGCCGATATATCGTGCATCCCTAGACACAAGTTGCTCACTCTGCATTGATTTTGGACTTTTCTACAGTCACTGCCTTTGAGAGTGAGACCCATCCAATATGGCGGCGATGCTGTTATGCTATCCAGCACCCAATGGGGCATTTACATATCCATGTCTATGGGGTCTACGTGATACTGCTGTAAAGCAACACAGTCAGTACTTTCGGCAGCAGGCAGCGGGTCTAAAACTGCATATTGCGGTAAACAGATGTGGGACCCCATCACACGATCAAGGCTCCGAAAATGAACATAATTGATGATAGAATGTCACCAAAACTTTTCTAAAAACATTATTTAGGTGTAAAAGTTGAGGAATGGGGCTTTAACCCTCCCGCATTGTTAATGGGGTCAGATGGACCTCTTGTGTATTTTTATTTTGTATTTTAATATTTTTTAACTCATTCACTGCCAGCCGTTTCCTGATCAGTAAAGCCCTTTGCTACCAGCGTTTCTCACCCTTTTTACTGTTTTTGTAAGAGTCACAGAACGTTGCGCGCTAGGATGATGTCGACACCAAAACAACCAAAACAAAGCAGAGACTCACCTCTTACATCAGGAAGAATCCGCGCGTTTCGAGCGTTATCCGTTCTTTCATAATCTGTTGTTGAATTGTGATCGGCAGAAGCTTTTCCAGTTCGCGCCTCACTTTTTTTTACAGGAACGGCCCAAAACGATCTCCTAACACATGGATTTTCTGCTTCCTGATCAATTTTCTGCTTCCTGATCACGTGACGTGTGACGTACACGGATGAAGATCGGCTTTAGAGCTGAGATGTTTGTTCTCACGGTGCGGGGCTCGTTCCAACGTCCACACAGTAAAAAAAATGCAAATGATGACTTTAGTCATCAATGGCAGTGAATGAGTTAAGGGGTGCGTCACTTCACCCCTGCCAAGGCATACACTTTAAACCCTGTTTAGCCACCACCTGTCCTGGTGGGGTCACCTGATAGGAAAGTGGAAGGGTTAAAGATGAGTTAATCTGAGTTGTTTCAAATCATAGTTACATAAGTACATCAGATAAAAAAGGTTCCGACATTGAAAAGCAGCCATATTTTAAGCTTAAGTTATTTAAACACTGAAATAAAACTCTAAAAGTTTTGAAGTGAAAAGAAACATTTTGGCATTTTATAAAACTCAGAGCTGTAAAACCAAGCACCACGCACAACACTTATCACATTTATCACATCTACACATTTCTGAGAAATAGATCAAAGTGAACTGTACAAATGAATTTTACTGCCTCAAATCTGTCACCTGAAAGCAACCTGATGAGTGAAGTTTTATATGAAGATCTGTGATCGGATCTGCAAATGTTACTGGGACTCTCAGTTTTGCTTCTTGTCCTTTGATCTCAGAGCTATTTAAAGCAAATGCATGAGCTCTTACCATCTGGGGCCATGTGAGTCTGCTCGGCGTTGGAGGGCGGGCGCGAGGGCCTGATGGCGGCGTGAGCGGCCTGCGTGGCAGCCCGTAGCTTCGTGAGGGTCAAAGCCTCGCCGTGGTCCCTCAGAGAATGCTCCTTTAGCTGGCTGATGGTCATAGAGGTGAAAGAGCACGACAGGCACCTGTACATGTGCTGCTCACCTGAAGGAGAACAAGAAAATAAATGTTAGACATTTTTTAAATCAGGAGTGCTTTTTAAAAATAAGAAGAGTTCAAACTAACAAAACTGTAAAAACCACCTCGGTGAGCCTGAGTTTAATCAGCTGATTGTCTCTGATCAAAATCTTGTCACGGGATGAGTTTAAAGCTACTTATTTCCTGTTCCTGCTCAATTTTTTTGTGCGAAGCTGAAGCACCATGGCTGAAACATGGCCTTACCAAAAATGGTTCAGCAGGAAAATACTTCCTTGTTGTTTTTTCTTCTTTCTGTAAGAACATCTTGTTCAGAGCGCAACAGTTCCTGATCGCAGGAGGATCTTTAGATGGCTGGTTGTTGTTTGAACTTCATCAACACAGCTGTAAGGTGTGACTTAATGTGTGTGTGTGTGTGTGTGTGTGTGTGTGTGTGTGTGTGTGTGTGTGTGTGTGTGTGTGTTTACCTGTGTGAGCCTTATGCAAGTGGCTCTTCAGGCGACTCACGTAGGCAGATTTAAAGGGGCAGAGTTTGCACTTGAAGGGCTTGTGGTGACCGTGGTGTGACTGCACATGCCTGTCGAGGCTGATGTGACACAAAACATTTAAAACAAAAGTAGAAAACATCAGATAAGGAGGTGAGGCTAACTTGGAAACAGCCGATAACTACATTACTAGTTTAATAACTCGTCTAACAGTCCTCTGGGGAATGAGTCTGTTGGCACCATCAGGGGACGTTAGCTGTGTTTCTAATGCCAGCCTCTGAGGTGGCACGGGGATGCGGCCTCTTTCTGGGTCAGAGTGCGTGCGGCACAGAGGGATTACACCTGGGAGCTCAGAGGAGATGAGGATTCTCTCTCTGTGGTGGATAAAACAAACCACACAACCAGAATGTCCGTCTGGCTGCAGTGGTTGTCTTCTCCTCCCGACAGGTAGGCAGGAAATCTCGGAGAGGATTGGAGACTGGGAGGAGGGACTGCAACTGGGTAAACAGGATGATGTGTAACGTGGAGCTCGGAACAAAATGGGTTCAAACATCCAGGTGATTTGATGGCGACAGCAGGAAGATGTGCGTTTAAAACAAGACGTGCTGCATGGTGGCTCTAATGGCACTCTGCTATACTTACTTGTGTCTGAAAGGTGAGACGAACTGGCAGTACTGGCAGCTGTATTTGTCCTCCCGACTGAACAGAGCCATGGCTGAGTGGCTCCTCTCGTGGGACCTCAGTCCCTGCATGGACATGAAGACCCGATCACACTGAGAGCAAGCGTGACCCCCTGCTGCTAAGCGCTGATTCAGCTGGCCCTCCGATACCACGGCTCTGGCGGCGGCCACAAGGGCAGCGGACTTTCCCTTAACCGGTTCTGTGTCTGGATCCAGATTCTCCAGCATGGCGTCTTCCCTGTCACCACCAGAAGCCACTGCTAGCGCCATGGAGGTCTCAGCGCCGTCGGCTTCAGCTGACTCATCCTCCTCCAGGTCTCCATTAGTTAGACCCTTTGAAGGCGGGATCAGAGGGACCTCACTGACTTCCTTCTGCAAATACAGAAAAGTCACCTTTTTTTAGTATCGTCACCCAATAGGGAATCGTTTGATCTCGTGTTTCTTCTCAGCTCTGATTAGACTGATTCAAAAACACAAAACTACAAACTTTTGACACAAACTGAAGCTCTACACCTGCCTCCGTGATCAGCTGTGACCCAGCACTCCGCACACTCATAAATAAGATCCACAGGCCCCGCCTTACTCCGAACCTTCCATCTGAGACCAGAGCCTTTTCATTACAACAAATGTAAAAAAAACATTTTATACCATCTGATGACGATGTTGCAGACAGCCGCAATGATCCTGTTGTGGGTCATAAATGCTGGCAGGCAGACCAGATTCAAACTACAAACTACTCTTTTATTCTGTATGTGGATCCCAGTAACTAAAGTAAATACTTCTCTGGCTGCCCAGATGCCTCTGTCAGCAACAAACTCAAACCCATTAACAGAGGTCAGTCAAGTGTTTGGAGAATAAGTCAGAAAACAATGCAGTGTGATTGGGCTGAGGGTAAAAGAAAAGCATCAGTTTCAAATACTAGCTCTCATCATCTTAGCACAGTAGGACCAAAGATCAGACAGAATACATTCAAAGAGAACCTCCCCTCAACCCTCCCACTGTCCTAATGGGTGTGACCCCACGAGGAAAGTTGACCATTGAGCAGGTTGATGGTTTATCGCTTAGGTCCACGTGGCAGGAGTGAGCACCACCTCACCCCTGCCACGTGGACCCAAGGAATAAACCATCAACCCCGCTCAATGGTCAACTTTCCCACGAGGTCACACCCATTAGGACAGTGGGAGGGTTAAAGGAGCTTCATTAGTTAAAAAGAAATGTTGCTGTTTTATTGATGAAAATGTGAAAATTTTGATAAGCAAACTCTTATGTACATTTTTTTCACCATTTTCTTGTAATTACTGATTATTTTATCTCATAATCTAAAGATTTTGACATTTGGATTCCTTTAGATGATTGAAACAAACCTGTGATGTCATCAAGTCAAGGTCAGTGTGGTGAGATGTTTATGTTTATGTGCTTAGCAGACGCTTTTACCCAAAGCGACTTACAATTTTTTTTTAACCTATAGGGCATGTTGTATCTGTGGGGGAAACCGGAGTACCCGGAGAAAACCCACGCATGCATGGGGAGAACACGCAACTCCACGCAGAAAGGCCGCAGCCGAGTTTCGAACCTGCGACCTTCGTGTTGCGAGGCAACAGTGCTAACCACTGCGCCACCATGCAGCCCATACATCTAAAAGATACATCTAAAAAATTCAAAACTAGGGATTGAGTTTAATTTATAGCAGCATGAATGTTTTTTAGTTAAAATAAAGCAGCCAGAACCTTTTTACAGTAGGCCAAGACGAGAGGTCGACCAAATGCTGCTTCTCTTTTTCAACCACAAACAATTCACTAATCCTAAGGGCAAATTCAGCTAAAAACATCAAAACGTCCTTTTTAAAAAAAAAATCATTTTTAGCTATAAGTTAAAGCTGCTCTGCACTTTTGATACCTTATTCCAAGTGGAAACCTTGTAACTATGAGATGTCAATATAACTAGATCTTAATCTTGTAAAACTACTTTTACAACAGCATCCAAGAAATGTTTGAATAGCTTCGCTTACCTTGACATGACCCGCTTTGGCTTCTCCGTACTGGACGTGCTTCCTAAGGTGGTTGCAGATTGCACGGAGGGTCGGGTGTATCTCTGCACAGAAGTTACACCTGAATCCTACAGGGGTGTTGTTGGTAAGACTTTCCTGATCAGAGGAAAAACAGACACAAGCAGAATCCGCTTCATTCCATGTTTGCAAAAAGTCAACAAAAATATTTAGGATTAACAAAAAACAAATGTTTTCATCTGTGCTTCACTAATAAGGACATATTTGTCATAACTGAATTAAAATGTCTTTTTCTCCAACCTGAAACAAGTCAGATCAATGATAAATTAACTAAAGGCCCAGAATTCCTTAAAACACTGCATATTCCCTACTACTACCTTTTTTGACAGTTTAAAATTAAGATGATCTTATATTGAGAGCTAATGAAGTTAGCAAGAACCAAGAGAACCGAACACATCACTCCTGTTCTTAAATCTCTACTCTGGTTCCACTTAAGTACAGAATCAATTTCAAAGTACCTCTACTAGTTTATAAATCACTCGATGGCATTGGGCCAGGATGCATGTCTGATCCCCTTCCTGTGTATATGCCCAGCAGGGCTTGTAGATCCTTAGGATGTAGTCAGCTTGTAGAACCCCAGGTCAGAACAAAACAGGGTGAAGCTGCTTTTAGCTACTATGCTGCACACAGCCCTGGGCTGTCACCTTACCGTGGTGGAGGGAATTGAGTGTCTGAATGATCTTAGGAGCTAAGTTGTCTGAGGCTTTATGCCTCTGGTAGGGTCACCCATGGCAAACAGGTCCTAGGTGAGGGATCAGACAAAGAGCAGCCCAAAGACCTCTTATGATGAATTATAGAAATGGAAACCATGTTCCCTCGCCCGGACGTGGGTCACCGGGGCCCCCCTCTGGAGCCAGGCCTGGAGGTGGGGCACGTTGGCGAGCGCCTGGTGGCCGGGCTTTCACCCATGGAGCCCAGCTGGGCACAGCCCGAAGAGGAAACGTGGGTCCCCCTTCCCATGGGCTCACCACTCGTGGGAGTGGCCAAAGGGGTCAGGTGCAGTGTGTGATGAGTGGTAGTCGAGGACGGGGACCTTAGCGGTCTGATCCTCGGCTACAGAAGCTGGCTCTTGGCCCATGGAATGTCACCTCTCTGGTGGGGAAGGAGCCTGAGTTCGTGTGTGAGGCTGAGAGGTTCCGACTAGATATAGTCAGACTCACCTCAACGCACTGCTCTGGCTCTGGAACCAGTTTCCTTGAGAGGGGTTGGACTTTCTACCACTCAGGAGTTGCTCCCACTGAGAGGTGCAGAGCGGGGGTGGGCATACTAGTTGCCCCCCATCTTGGTGCCTGTATGTTGGGGTACACCCCAGTGAATGAGAGGGTAGCCTTCCTCCGCCTACATGTGGGGGGATGGGTTCTGACTGTGGTCTGTGCTTATGCACCAAACTACAGTTCAGACTACCCACCCTTTTTGGAGACCTTGGAGGGGGTGCTGGAGAGCGCTCAATCCGGTGACTCCCTCATTCTGCTGGGGGACTTTAACGCTCACGTGGGCAATGACAGTGAGACCTGGAGAGGTGTGGTTGGGAGGAATGGTCCCCCTGATCTGAATTTGAGTGGTGTTTTGTTATTGGACTTCTGTGCTAGTCATGGATTGTTCATAATGAACACCATGTTCAGACATAAAGGTGTCCATATATGCTCTTGGCACCAGGATACCTTAGGCCGCAGCTCGATGATCGACTTTGTTGTTGTTTCATCTGACCTGCAGCTGCATGTCTTGGACACTCGGGTGAAGAGAGGGGTAGAGCTGTCAATTGACCACTACCTGGTGGTGAGTTGGCTCAGATGGTGGGGGAGGATGCCGATCAGACCAGGCAGGCCCAAACGTATCGCGAGGGTCTGCTGGGAACGTCTGGCAGAGTCTCCTGTCAGAAGGAGCTTCAATTCCCACCTCCGACAGAACTTCCAAAATGTTCCGGGAGAGGCGGGGGACACTGAGTCTGAATGGACCCTGTTCCATGCCTCCATTGTTGAGGCGGCCGACCGGAGCTGTGGTCGCAGGGTCGTCGGTGCCTGTCGTGGTGGCAACCCGCGAACCCGCCGGTGGACACCGGCGGTTAGGGATGCTGTCAAGCTGAAGAAAGAGTCCTATCAGGTCTTTTTGGCCTGTGGGACTCCAGAGGTAGCTGACGGGTACCGGCAGTCCAAGCGGAACGCGGCTCGGGTGGTCGCCGAGGCAAAAACCCGGGCATGGGAGGAGTTCGGTGAGACCATGGAGCAGGACTTCCGTACGGCTTCGAGGAGATTCTGGTCCACCATCCGGCGCCTCGGGGGGGAAAGCAGTGCGCTACCAACACTATCTGTAGTGGGGATGGTGTGCTGCTCACCTCTACTCAGGACGTTGTGGATCGGTGGGCAGAATACTTTGAAAACCTCCTCAATCCCACCGACACGTCTTCCAGTGAGGAAGCAGAGTCTGGGGACTTTGAGTTGGCCTCTCAAATCTCTGGTGCTGAGGTCACTGAGTTGGTTAAAAAGCTCCACTGTGGCAAGGCTCCAGGGGTGGATGAGATCCGCCCGGAGTTCCTTAAGGCTCTGGAAGTTGTGGGGCTGTGTTGGCTGACGCGGCTCTGCAATATTATGTGGACATCAGGGGCAGTCCCACTGGACTGGCAGACCGGGGTGGTGGTTCCCTTATTTAAAAAGGGGGACCGCAGGGTGTGTTCCAACTACAGGGGGGATCACACTCGTGAACCTTCCTGGTAAGGTCTATTCAAGGGTTCTGGAGAGGAGGGCCCGTCGGATTGTTGAACCTCAGACTCAGGAGGAGCAATGTGGTTTTTGTCCTGGCCGTGGAACACTGGAACAGCTCTATACCCTTAGGGGGATCCTGGAGGGTGCGTGGGATTTGTCCAACCAGTCTACATGTGTTTTGTGGATTTGGAGAAGGCGTTTGACCGAGTCCCTCGGGGGGCCCTGTGGGGGGTACTCCGGGAGTATGGGGTACCAGGCCTTCTGATATGGGTTGTTTGGTCCCTGTATGACCGGTGTCAGAGCTTGGTCCGCATTGCCGGCAGTAAGTCGGGCTCATTCCAAGTGAGAGTTGGACTCTGCCAAGGCTGCCCTTTGTCACTGATTCTGTTCATAACCTTTATGGACAGGATTTCTAGGCACAGCCAAGGTGTGGAGGGCATCCGTTTTGGTGGCCTGAGGATCAGGTCTCTGCTTTTTGCAGATGATGTTGTCCTGTTGGCTTCATCAGAACGTGATCTTCAGCTTTCGCAGGAGCGGTTCGAAGCCGAGTGTGAAGCAGCTGGGATGAGAATCAGCTTCTCTAAATCTGAGACCATAGTCTTGATTCGGAAAAGGGTAGAATGCCTTCTCCGGGTCAGGAATGAGGTCCTGCCCCAAGTGGAAGAGTTTATCTTGGGGTCTTGTTCACGAGTGAGGGAAAACTGGAGCATGAGATCGATAGGCGGATTGGTGCTGCAGTGATGCAGGCGTTGTACCGGTCTGTCGTGGTGAAGAGAGAGCTGAGTTGGAAGGCGAAGTTCTCAATTTACCGGTCGATCTACGTTCCTACCCTCACCTATGGTCATGAGCTTTGGGTAGTGACTGAACGAACGAGATCGTGGATACAAGCGGCCGAAATGAGTTTTCTCCGAAGAGTAGTTGGGCTCTCCCTTAGAGATAGGGTGAGAAGCTCAGTCATCCGAGAGGGGCTCGGAGTAGACCCGCTGCTCCTCCACATCGAGAGGAGCCAGTTGAGGTGGCTCGGGAATCTGGTCAGGATGCCTCCTGGATGCCTCCCTGGTGAGGTTTTCCGGGCACGTCCAACCAGGAGGAGGCCTAAAGGTAGACCCAGGACACGTTGGAGGGACTATGTCTCTCACCTGGCCAGGGAACGCCTTGGGATTCCCCCTGAGGAGCTAGCCCAAGTGGCTGGGGGGAGGGAAGTCTGGGCCTCTCGACTTAGGCTACTGCCCCCGCGACCCGACTCCGGATAAGCGGATGAAAATGGATGGATGGATGGATGGCTGCACGCAGCCTCCTCATGACCTCAAATGTGCCCCAACTCTTTTAACTTTAAAATCAAAATTGAAAACCTTCATGTATTCATATAGCCCTTGAATGAATGTTTCTTATGCTGCACCTTCAGCACTATAGCTGCTCACCCTATAACAGTCTTTTTCTATTTAATTTTATAATCTAAATTTATTTTGTGTGTATTTTATTTGTGCACTTGTGTTGATTTTAATATTCTTGATATCCTTGCTAATTGGAAAGCACCTTGAATTGCCTCTGTGTATGAAATGTGCTATATAATTAAACCTGCTGTGCCTTTCCCATAACTGGCTGTGTTATGGCCACATTAGTGATTTCTACAGTTAAAGTGCTGTGGTGGCCATATTGAATTGGGTAGACTCCAAAAGTTAAACCTTGTTGATGAACATCCACGTATTCCTTAGTTTCATGAAAATATGTCCGGCATATCATTAGATAATTTTGCTAATAAAAATGCACAAAGCTAAAAACCCTTATGGCGGCGGTGAATGACAAACCCATAATGAAACCAATCATAGTATTTACCATAAGGTACACACTAGTTAACATTAAAAAAACAAAACAAAAAGTAAAACTCATATGTACATTTTTTTCCCCTGTGTCTTGTCTGGCTGTGAAGCAAACAGAATTAATGTCTGAATGCTTGTGACAAACCTTACAGATTTACTCTCAGGTGGAGCATCAAAGCTTCTGCTGTTAATGTCACGCCTGACACTTAAAACTTTATTGTTATTGTTTTTTGAATGCTTTGTAATTCCGGCCAGACACGGAGAAAGAGGTGAAAGGGAAAGGAAAAGACAAAAAAAAAAAAAAAAAAAAAAAAAAAAAAAAAAAGGGGGGGGGGGGGGTCCACAAAAATAAACAATCAGTGTTGAACAGGGGTCTGCTTCTAGACCTGCAGAAAAGGGACACACAACAATACAACAGGAGCAAGCTATCACTGCGTCAACTTGATGAAGAAATATAAAATCAACATTGTTTTACTGAGCAATCACGATAATAAATCACAGTGCATTAAGTGCCAACCACAGCCTTAAGACATGTGTTGAACGTGCCCAAGTCCATACTTATGAGAGCACCATGTGAGCACCTGTGTGCGTACATGCGCTTGTATATGTAAGGTTTCTCTATAGGAGTGTCCAATAGAGAGTGTGAGGGGCCACAGATCTGCCCCCCAAAGACGTGGAGGAGATGGAGGGAGCTCCAAGTCCCAGAGATCCAGGAGCTGCCCCAGAGCACAGGGGCCCCAGGGAGACTGAAAAGCCCCCTTGAAAACCCCCCTCGAGAGGTGCAGGGGATCGCCTCGGTGGGCCACAACCAGCAGCCGGCAGAGTCCCGGGAGATATCAGCAGCAAACCCACAGCCCCGCCTGCAGCCTCCCACCCACTAGCCGGCTGAGTCCGGAACCAAGCGAGCCGGGACCCAGGGGCGACCACCCCCGCTGGGGATCCTGCAGAGCCCAGGGACCCAGATCCCACCAGGCAGCCACCGGGATTGATCAGGCTGACGCCAAAAATCTTAAACCCCCTGACCCGGGAGCCACGAACACTCAGGCAGACCAAGGCACCGCACTCCACACCAGGTGTGGCAGGGGGAGAGGAGACGAAGATGTATAGCATCAAAAGAAGCCCCAGGAGAGGGGAGGAGTCAAAGGCCCCACCTGACATATACAGTCATACACAGACACAGTCACACACTCCCTCCCTCATGCTCACACATACACATACAACCTATTTTTTTCTTGTGTTTAGTGTTTGATAGGTTTTGCAGTTAAAGCTTACCTTTTCTTGAAGTTGCCCTGGTTTCTGCTCAATGAATTGTGGCCTCTTCTTCTCCTGTTTCGTGGCTCTTCTCTCAAACTCCAGTGTGTGACTGAGAAGATGGTTAGCCAGAGGAGGAAGCGATAAAAACTTCAACTCACAGTGAGAACATCGGTACAACTCCAACTCCTCGTCCTCGGGATCAGATGCTACTAAAAAGTCTCTCTTCAAGTCTACGCTGTGGTAGTCATTATAGTGCATAGATAACAGCTGGCCTGTATTAAAGGACAACCGGAAGCATTTCAGACACTTGAATGGCAGCCAGTCACCATCGCTGTCCTGCTCTGGTTCAGGAACCTCCAAGACTTTATTGTCCTCTTCATCCATTTCGCTGACTTCAACCTTTTCTGGCTCTTTGGCATAAATAACTGTAAAGTAGCGGCCAAGTTTGCTAGAGTGTTGCTTCTTGGGGAAGACACCGGGGTGGCGTTTGATGTAGTGTGAAACAATACTCTTCCTGCTGAAGGCCTGGAAGCCGCAAAGATTGCACCGCCGTCGCTCCACAGCCAAACGTAGGTCTTCGCTCATTTCTGAACATTCCCCTTCCAACGGTGGCTGTGCCAGTACTTTGCAAGGCTTGTCGCTCACGGTCTTTGAGGCAGCTAGACAATGAGTGTAATAAGCATCGATATCGTGCCGCTTCTGGTAGTGCGCTGCCAGGCCTTTGCGAATAGGGTTCGTGTATGAGCACAGAGCACATTTGAAGACATTGTTCTTACCCTCTGGTTGAGCACGCACATTGTTGTGTTTGATACGATAGTGGCGAGCAATTCCCTTTCTTGTTGAGCAAAAATACTTGCAAAGCTGACACTTAAACACAGCATGTTTTTCTGGCTTATTGATGGGTAAATGGGAGAGGGCGTAGTCCAACTCACTCACCTCCTGGACTTTAGATGTGCTGGACATGTTACTGGCACTGCATTCAGCTACTGGCTCAAAATCTTTACCAGGGGCAAAATTTGTCAGAGATACTGAGAATATATCAGAGGCAGACTGGTTGTGATATTTCTCATAATGGATTTTGAGTTTCTCCAGAGTCCCGTGTGTGTACGGGCACATTTTGCATCTGTATGCTCCATAGCCCTGCCTTTGAGTTTTGAATTTGTCCTCTCCTTCATGCAACTCTGAAATTTGCTCTATATCATCTGCAAAGTCTTCTGCTGTGACTTTTACCAGCGGGTGTCGTTTTTGATAGTGGGTTAAGACTCCGTGGATGCGAGAGTTCACGTATGGACAGTGACGGCATTTATACACAGAGCTGGGGTTTATGTCCGCTTCCTGTGCAAAGTCGGCAGCTTTTACTTTCATGCCTGGGTGCTTCTTGCCATAGTGAGTGAGGAGGCCATGGAGGCTGTTGTACTCTGACAAACATACAGTACACTGGTAAGGGTTATTAGAAATGGAAAGGCGTGGATGAGAGAGGTGGGGATTAGTTTCTTGAGGAGTAACAATGACTAGTGTTCCATCATCAAGCTGACAATTTAGAGATTCATGTTCCTTTGCAATCTGTTGTTGGATGTTTTCAGCTGAGCCATTCCCTTTGATGATATCCAAAAGTACAGATTCGTCTTCTTTGATAGCCCAGGGGTGGACTGCCTGGTAATGACTAGTAATGTCCCATATTGTAAGAGCCTCAAAGGCACAGTCTTTACATTTGTAATGTTTTGTTTCCATATTTACCCCTTGTTGAGTGGTTTCAGGGCCAGCCCACAACTTGCTAGCCATGTACGCATAATCAACATTATGTTCAGGGTGGCGTCTTTGGTAGTGAAGCAACAGACCTTGGGGATCAGAATGAGAGTAAATGCACCACTCGCAGTGATAGCCTGCCTCTAGTATGCCATCTTGGTAAGCCCAGTGTAAAATGGTCATGGCTGTGGCTTTTACTGTGGGGTGCTCCTTCTTTAGATGCTTCTTTAGAGCATAGACATAAGGGGTCGTAAAGGAACAGTGTCTGCACTTAAGAGAACGCAAAGGCGCATCATTTTCAGGGTCTTGAGGAGTAGTGATTGCTGCAGAGGAAACACCGCCAGACTGGACCATCTGTGCACGCTCACGTTGACTCCTCACAACTGCAGTGTGACGACGCACAAGGTCAGCATTGGCCTTGGTTTCCCTGTGTTTTTTCTGGTAGTGGATAAGCACTCCTTTTACAGTGCGGTTGCCATAATCACAGTGCTGACAGAAGAAGAGCTCGTCTTCACCTTTTTCACCACTGCCTTGCTTAGGACTTGAGTTACTGGAACCATCATGGCCATTATTTTGAAACTGCTTCAAAAACTGTTTAGGAGTCGCAATTTGTAATTCGTCCATTAATTTCATCAAGCCAGGGGTGGGCGGGCCATGTTTTATGTATTTAGCAGTCACTTTTACCTCTGGGTGTCTTTTTTGATAATGGACCAAAACGCCAACCACAGATCTATTACTGTACACACAGTGTTTACAGTAGTACGTATCTTCATCTGATCCATAAACTAACGCATTCGATTGTTTTGGAGAGGATGCAAACATCCCGGGGCTGAAGGAAGAATTTGCTGCAGGTTGGGACTGATCCACTGAAATCACTTTCATGGTTTTCTGTATGCGGAAATAAGACGCCTTCTGCTCTGGGTGTTTCTTTTGGTAGTGGACCAACACTGAGTGCATATTGGGGCTAGCAAAAGAACACACATCACAGTCGTAGAGTACCACGTTACTGCTCCCAGTTTCTTTGAGGGGTTCTGCTTCTGCACTCGATTCAGGGGACTTGGGACAAGCTTTCATCACCGGGCTTGAAGAGGACCTCGCCACTGAAGTGGATGAGGTAAAACTTTTGGGGCCAGAATTTAGTATTTCCCTCAGAGTTTGTGATTCGCTGGTTTTGGGACTCTGCTCTACGATATAGCTAGAGAAGATCATGGCGTTGTTGATCTTCACAGTGGGATGCATTCTTTGGTAATGAGGCATCAAGCTCCTAACATTGGGGCTTGTGTATGAGCAAAAGCGGCACATGTACAGCAGATGTGGTTGGTTAAAGTTGAGCACGTTGCTTGCTTCAGGGTGGTGCTCCATGTAGTGTTGATGCAAATCATTATAATTATTGTACTCAATGTAGCACTCCAAACAGCGGAAGACTGCACTCTGGTCTTCGGGGTCCAGGATGTACTTAAAGCTGAATTTAATGTAAGGGTGCATCCTCTGGTAGTGAGTGCTGACGCTCCGGGCTGATTTGTTGTGGTAATCACAGTGTTTGCAGTAAAACCGTGTTGTTCCAGGATCCTCAGCATAGTCCAAGTTTTCATGGACGGTGCCATCACTGGCATCAACTGAAATATTTTCACTATCATCTGAAAGAGTCAAGGATATAGGGATGCTTCTAGGCTTTGACTTGGGGTTGCTTTTTCTTTTCCCAATCCTGCCTTCGTTGGGGATTGCGGATTCTCGATTAAGCTGTTGCACAGTGTAAGTAAAGATAGGATTTGCGTTGTCGTGGTTTCTACTTTCATCAGCACTGGCTATTTCTCCTGCTTCTTCATCATCTATTTCATCCAGGTTGATAATCATGTCTTGCTGGCTTTGGCTTATCTTACTTTGAAGATTGCTGGCAATTTCATCTATTCTAGTTCTCTTTTTGACTGACGACAAATCCAAAGGCAAGTCATTGATGGACTTCCTGGCTCTTTTCCCTGTAACTAAGGGCTTTTTAGTGGCAAGTCCCAAAATGGGTGTCTGGGTTTTTTGTACAAAGACAGGAGAAGCCTCCACTTCAGAATCTGTCTGGTCAGTCATCTGGGTTTCAAAGGCGGTAGAATCTAGGTCATCACAGTAGAAATGCTTGTGCTGCTGGTGGACCCTCAGCCCTTTCAGGGTGGTGGTAGAGAAGCTGCATAGTGTGCAGCGATGGGGATTCTGCTGGTCACTTGATGTGCTGGTTGTCCTTTTTCCATTTACCCTGGAGCTAACACTCCCTCCATTAACTGGCTCTGCAGTGCTGTCATTCTGAGGCTCTGGGCTATCACTTGTAAGGTCCAGTGTCTCTAAATCTGAGGGGTTGTGGCTCTGCTTGTGCGCACTTAATTTCAAAGAGCTGGTGCAAATGAACGGGCACTCATCACATTTGAATACGGTGGCTTTCCCAGAAAGGTGAATGTTTTCAATGTGGCGGGAGATGCTGCGCCTGTGCATGGTGAGGAAGGAGCAGAAGGGGCACTGGAATCGGTTCATGTACTTCCTGAAGGGAATTCCCTTAGTTTCCAGTAATTTATTATCAACATCTGTTAGTAACTGTTTTGCATCTGCAGACAGAGTCCCAGTGTAGCTGGGATCGTCTATATCACCCAACTCTTCATCGTCATCATCATCATCATCTAAGCTGCTCCTTGAATCATCCCGATTGACTAAGTTAGCATCCATTTCTATGACACTATTGGGGGCATCAGATGAAGCAAACCTCTTAGATAAAATGGAAGAACCTGTGCTATTGGGCGTAACTGCACTTATTTGTTGTGCGTAATGAATTGATGAGATTTCTGCAACTGTCTTTCTTGAGTCTTTCTCTGGTATTTTATCAGGCTCCTCTTCAGAAAATTGCACCTTTGTTATAGTTGAGCTTTGGGAAGAAGGGGGAGAGTCTGCTTTGGGTGAGTTTGCATGTGGCTCCCCTTCTGGTTCCTCAGAGCTGGAAACTATCTTAACCTTGTCACTGTGTTCCTTCAGGTGATCAGTCCAGCTGTCCTTCTGGTCAGTTTGGTAATCACACCATTCACAGGGAAAAGTTCCCTTCTCTGTTCCGCTAGCTGCGTCCGATTCCTCCTCGCTCTCGATGTTCTCTGGAGCATCCCCAGCATTTTTGGATGGAACTTTGCTATGATACATCAGTTGATGTTTCAGTATCCTTGCTTTGCGGGGAGACTTGTATGTGCAATGCTGACAGGAATACACTTTTGAATGATCATTGTGCATTATTACAGTGTAGCTGGGCTGCTTGAAGGTCTCTGAAGAGATGCTTGCATCTGAATCATCCTCTGTCACATTATGCATCTTTTTGGTGTGATTTCTTAAGAAAGACTTTGATCTAAAGTAACGGACACAGAACTTGCACTGGTAAAATGGAAGCGGGGTTTCAGGAGTGTGTTTTTGTGTTGTTTGATTGGGGCCATCAGCGGAGGTGGGGCCTAAAACAGAAACAAAAAACACGAAATGCCAGATACCGTAAATTAGCATCCTACTCAAAGAGATACACATTCTGCTCTGAAAAACAAGAGATGAAGAAGTTTTTCTTAATCCTAAATAAACATAACAGCAACATCTGATTATTTTGTGAAGCGTACTCATTCCAGCTTTAGAAGGCGGGTAATCCTTGTCATCCTTATCCTCATTTTCCTCCTCTTCCTCCTCGTCTTCATCCTCCTCTCTCAGAGAGTCAGACTCATCTGCATCTGAAGGCTGCAGGAAAGCCGTGTGCACTTCCTGAATGTGGGTCTTCAAGTCATCGTAAGACTCAGCACGAAAGTCACAGCCGTCACACTGCAACACCTCCATCACTGAAAAGAGGGGAGAACTCCCTGGAAAATCAGGGAAACCTGTGAAGTAAAAGACAGGAAATCATCAGAATGTGGCTTTTTTTTTTTTTTTTTTACTTTTCTCACTCAAATAAGAAATATAATTCACAGGCACTCACATTTGCTATTCTTACCACAGTTTTATTGCTAAAATCGGAGAATTAAACACACCCTTCCATAACTATAAGCTTAGTTATCATCTTAGATGATTACAAAAGAGATTCCTGCTGTGAACAATGAATAATCAAGAGCTAAATGTTGACACACTTTTGCACATGATGAGAAAGACAAAGCTGTGATCATTTAAAAATGATTTAAATAAGGAGTTGTTCAATTTCCGGCCTTAATTAAAAGACCTTTCATGTTTTTTTTTTAAATCACCAAAGAAAGTTGGAAACATTAGACGCCTTTTTCACATTTTTGCTAAATTATTCTTGGAAGAAAATTTTATGTGCAAAGTTGTCACTTCTGATGACTCAGATAGTAATCAGAGAAAGGTTTATATTAAATAAAAGACAGTGGTTTGACTAACACAACTCTACTATAGTATTGGTGATTTATGTAAAAAGGTATGTGCAATTATTTATAAGGAAAAAATGGGGTTTATACTGAAATAGTTTTACAACATTTAAAAAATACAAATGTATTTGTACATTCATGGGTACTGATGCTCCAACATGACAAAGCAGAGGAAAGGATTCAGCAGATGTTGCAGGTTGAGGTTTTTAGCATTGCATTATTCCAAGAACAATGGAGGGACTGAGGAGGGATTATGGCTTGATTTGTCCCATTTTTTCTACCTTGGGATAAGCAACAGCTGGGGAGCAGCCCCACGACTCAGTATTTAGAGCAGACGATTCCATCTGACTGTATTAACTGCTCTAAAGATTGAATGAATCAGCCAAGAAATGAAAGCTTTATGTTTCCGGGTGTCCTGGTTGTTCAGGTTCAGACATGACCGCTCATCTTCGAGAGTTTTTACCAATCGTCTCTCATTATGATAAACCTGTCAGCTATGGAGCACCGTTTCAAACCTTAACTTGCAAAATCCATTCATTCAGATTTTTGAGCAAAGCAAGATGTTTCTGTGACAATTACACATGGTCATCACATCCTTTAAGAGAAAGAATCTTCAAACTAGGGCTCTTTGTAATTTTTAAAAAGGCTTCAATTTCCAGATCCAAGGGCAGCATCTATCCTTTCTTTACATCCGGAGCACTGAAAGCGCTCTGCAGCAGACAGGAAACAGATAGGAGTCTGTTTTAGTGAATATAAATGAACAGTTGTGAGGTAATAATGGTCAGTTCCACTAAGGGGAGAGCAAACTTCACTCCCGGTCTTACAAAAAGCTGCAGAATGGAAGAAAGTAATAGTAGTGCAGTAGTGATATCTATTAAGTCATCTTCGGGAGAAATCGTCAGCACAAGGTAGAGTCATTTTGGAAACATGCTTTGACAGATGTTGCGATTTAGCTAACAGGCCAGTTACCACAGGCCTGCCTTGAGATTAAAGGAGCAACATGTGATGAAAACAGCCTGCTTCAAACTAATGTCCTGCTTTAAGTGGCTGAACGACATATTTCATGAAATCTGGAGCTCGACAACGAAGAACGCTGAGATTCAAGGTTTACGGTCTTCCACTTCTTATGTCCAACTCTAATTTCCCTCTGGGATTAATAAAGTATCTTTGATTTGATTTGTTGATGTCTAAAAACCAAACTGAATAGTGGGTAGATACAGGAAAAAGAAAGGTGATCAGATTTCTTTAAAGGTGTAGATTACTTGTTTAATCAATAGATTTGCAGTGGTCTCTAGTAGGAATGAATGCCTTGCAGGCAGAACTCAGGGCACGAAAAAGCCCCTAGCCCAGCAGGATCAAGTCTGCAACATCAGAGCTGTGCTACAAACGGGAGAATTTGGAGTCTAATTTCTTGATATTAGACATCTTTCCTTGGATTGGATAAAGGAAACATGACTCTACCACTAACTCTGTTTGCTCAGGGTCATGGATGTTTTATCTCCACGAATAACGAGCCAAGAGGAGCTTCTGCAGTGTGAGTGAGTTGCTAATGCTAGCAGTTAGCTTCTGTTGAACAAGACTCTGCTGGTTCTGGACGTTAAAACAGCAACAGCCTTCCTGTCTCGAGTCAATAAGTCCATATTTTCATGTTCAGCTTGCGCATTAACGATTATAATCAGTAATAATCATTAAAAAAATGTTTTTTCAGTCAACCACGCCTTTAAGTGAAAAACTGGAGATCTTAGATGGCTACAAACATGTCTGCAAGAGGAATGACATTACAAATAACTAGGCCTTCAGACATTAGCTCAATTACTGGAGCACTCCGATTTGAAATGTGTGTTGTATTCAGGGCTTGAATTACACCAACCGAGAATGAAGTGCCTGAAGTTTGTCCAATTTATACATGAAAATACAGTTAACCTGAGATAGTTTTTTTTACCATCATTGCTCACGTTCCCTCTCATGATGGGATTGTAGAACAAAACACAAATTCAGCACTATGCTGCATAGACGATGGAAATGTGGGACTAAATATATGAATACAGGTTTTTCCCAGGCGTGCTGCCTGAACATGTTTTTGTGCTGCTTGAATGTTTTCCCCACAAACATACTTTGATTTTTGTGTTAAATAAATAATTGACCGGCACTGAGAGTTGAACGCAGCCATAATTATTATTGTCCATGATAGCGCTGCCAAAAGAAAGAAATCTTGAAAAGGCGACAAAATGCACACGGTCGACGTACCGCCACGGCAGCTCAGACACCAGGCGATAGGTGCAAATGCCGGTCGGGTTATACGAAAGACTTTAAAAATGGGACTCAATGCCTCCCTGCTTGACAAACAGCTTTAAAGGGGTTGGATTGGAGGGTTAACCACCAAATAGTTCCCGAGCGCAGCCACAGCTGTAGCTCACCACTCCCCACAAGGATGGGTCAAATGCAGAAATGAATTTCACCAGTGTGTGATGACTTTAACTTTCCTCACTGAGCTATTAAAGAGCTAGCATGTATCATTTAGCAACCCAAGGTAGAAGGCGGACACATAATTTAAAACCTTTGTCTTTATTTGATTGTTGTGTCTTAGATGTATCCTAGAGTGCCCCGTGTATGTTGATCGTTATCCTCAGCAGGTCTTGTAGCGATGGCGTACAAATGCCATGGAGAACACAAACGTTACTTCGACTCAGAAATGATTCAGCTGGCTTAAAGGTCAGGAAGGTTAAACCAAGGGGCGGTGGATATAGCCATAGTGAAATAATATTCTGACTAAAAACATGCACCTTGAATATTTTTGTCAATTACTTCATTCCCGTTGGTAAACAGTTTCCTTATGTCTCTATGTTCAAATATTCACTTATCTATTAAATGAATTTATGAGCTATTTATACACATTGTGATCGTGTGGTTTTGGGTAGGCGGGATTTTAGGTGCCACATACTGAAATTCAACATGGCAGCTCAGGCAAACACTTGGCTTCACTTTGGAACAGCAGAAGTAGACTGACCCCGGCTTTCCACGGGAGCCGTCAGCAGCACGTTACTGCAGCAGCACGTCTTGCTCGCGTAAACTGCTGCTTGGCCCTTCCCACGAGACGCAAAGCAGCAGGGGAGCAGCTGTCACCGACCGAGCACGAAGTCACACGAGTGACTTCGTCAGTAAACACAACAACAAGCACGGGAAAACTACAACATGGCTCCAAAAGGTTTGTGTTTTATGTTCTGTCCGTTTTATAATTGCCAATACGGACCTGAAAAACAAAGGAGACCGCTAGCTAGGTGATAACTTCTCATGGGGACGCACAGTTAGTAACTGTTTTAAAAGTAAAGCAGCTGGAAGGCAGTACGTTCTTTATTCTGAAAATCTCGGGAGCTTCTCTCCATTTCCGCGTCCGATTTCCTGTCTTTCCTTCCCCAAAAATGTCGAACTTGACCCGTTTCAGAGGCGTCGCGCGTAGAAAATAGAACCGGCGCGTAAAGGCCGCGACATGCTGCTCCTGAGACGCGGCCGACTCGCGCTGCTGACGGCTGCCGACCGCTCCAGTGGAAAAGGTTCTGTTGACCACAGCGGTTCCTATCAGCAGCTATGACGTGCTGCTGCAGTAACGTGCTGCTGACGGCTCCCGTGGAAAGCCGGGGTGAGATGTTTTGTCCACTCTTGTACATTTTGATAGTCTAAATTTTCAACTTTGTTAACAAGATAAACCAGTTGACTATGATGTCACTGGAGACAATAAGTAGGTAAACTGTAATGCTGAGAATAGTTTGGAGATGTATTCTATTTACAAAGTCCAGCAACTTAAGTTCAAGACATTTCGCAAAGTTGCTTTAATCCACCATCAGTTTTTGTCTCCTAAAAAGTTCAAGGTAGATCCAGACAAAGACAGTTGGGAATTCTGCCTGACTTCCCAAACCCAACTGGCTGGCTAGTTGGGAGCTCCATGTGAGCCAGACAAACTGTCCCTAAGCAACCACGGGATCCATTGTTGCCCCGGATCAGGTTACAGCCTCATCACATGTCCACACCCAACTCGCTCGGCAGTTCACTGCTGCTTTGAACTAAGTTGCCTCCTAACACCAGGTTCCTTGACATGAGTATCAAGAGAAGCCTTTCAGAAAGAAAGGGAGAAGAGTACCCATGAAGAGAAGGAAAAACAACCTTCACAACCACCTGCTTTGTGGCTGGCTGTGTCTTTTCAGCCAGTCTCTGCACCACACCAAGTTAATGGGTGAGATAGAGCAAGTGCTTTCATCTAGTCAGCTGGGGCTCTAACAGACAGAGGCTGAGCAGCTCAGATCCTCCTCTGAGCCGAGCTTCAAGGGCAGCCATTTTAGGAACTGACTATGTGTGCTTAGCTGTTCAGCCAGCACATAACATGGACCCACAGATCTGATCCTCTTCCTGAAAGGCAGGCAGCCTGTCGCTGGAGAGCTGCTGACAGAAATCTATTTGCCAGATGTACAGCAGTGTACCCAAGCCCTCTGCCCACAGCTCAGCAGAAA